GCAGGTGCAGCACTTTGTGAACCTCCATGTGCAGATTTCGTGGCAGGCACAGCACTTTGTGCACCTCCATGTGCAGATGCCGTGGCAGGCGCAATATAAAATGCGTTGTGGAGAGATAGCGAACGCACGAAATGCTGTATTTTTCAATGGAACCGGTGGCTCCGAAGCTGGCAAGTGAAGGTCTGCGGAACGACGGTTGCGAGACGGTCTCGGGTCATTCTCGGATCATGCTCGGAATCGTCCGTCCATTGGGATTAGAGGTTTCACTTGTTTCTTGAAGTGAAGATTTCGTGGCAGGTGCAGCATTTTGTGAACCTCCCTGTGCAGATTTCGTGGCAGGCACAGCACTGTGTGCACCTCCATGTGCAGATTTCGTGGCAGGCACAGCACTGCACCTTTACTGGCGACTGTGTAGTACAACTTTAGTACGCGGAGTATCTGTGGAGCTGGAAGCTGAGAACTGGCGACTTTCTAGTACAACTCTAGTACGCGGAGCAATCTGTAGAGCTGGAAGCTGAGAACTGGCGACTTTCTAGTACAACTTTAGTACGTGGAGCAATCTGTAGAGCTGGAAGCTGAGAACTGGCGACTTTGTAGTACAACTGTAGTACGCGGAGTATCTGGCGAGCTGGACGATGAGAACTGGCGACTTTGTAGTACAACTTCAGTACGCGGAGCAATCTGTGCAGCTAGAAGCTGAGAACTGGCGACTTCGTAGTACAACTTTAGTACACGGAGTATCTGGCGAGCTGGACGAGGAGAACTGGCGACTTTGTAGTACAACTTTACTGCGCGGAGTGTCTGTGGAGCTGGATGGATGAGAACTGGCGACTTTCTAGTACAACTTTAGTACGCGGAGCAATCTGTAGAGCTGGAAGCTGAGAACTGGCGACTTTGTAGTACAACTTTAGTACGCGGAGTATCTGTGGAGCTGGATGGTGAGAACTGGCGACTTTCTAGTACAACTTTAGTACGCGGAGCAATCTGTAGAGCTGGAAGCTGAGAACTGGCGACTTTGTAGTACAACTTTAGCACGCGGAGTATCTGGCAAGCTGGGCGATGAGAACTGGCGACTTTGTAGTACAACTTCAGCACGCGGAGCAATCTGTGCAGCTAGAAGCTGAGGACTGGCGACTTCGTAGTACAACTAGAGTTGTACTGGCGAACAGTGTAGTACGCGGAGGGGTCATCTCTGGCTGCTCATTCATCTCTCGCTGCTGAGTCAGCTCTCGCTATAGCCATCTCTCGCGGCTGAGTCATCTCTCGCGACTGAGTCATCTCTCGCTGCTGAGTCATCTCTCGCGGCGTGCACGTTCAGTTCATACTGATAGTATTTGGTTGCAGTTATGCAGGACAGGACATTCAACTGCTGGTCAAGACACCACTCATCATACACCAGTCAGCATACACCACTCATCATACACCACTCGTCATACACCACTCATCATACACCACTCAACATACACCACTCATCATTCATCACTTGTCATACACCCCTCATCATACAAGACTCATCATACATAGTCTCAGAGTTCAAGACAGATTTGGATTCCATTCAGTCCGATGTGGACCGCATCCTTGGCAAGTCGTGGTGGCCGGATGTGTGTCATCTCTCGCAGGGGGCACACACACCTTACACACGTGGAATCCCGTGGGTCAAAAGTCCGGAGCGCGTGCGTTTGACTGGAGGACGCGCATGTTGGAGAGAACGTGGACACTCCTATAGGTCAGTTTCTTCTTATAGGAAACTTCCGCCGCCGGCTTGCCCGGGAACTGCTTGTAAAGATGTGTTTCATATTTATTTTATACATCATATTTTGTTTTTCGTCCGGCACACAAATACACAACAGGCCAATTGAACCCAAAACTAGAGGGAGGGATTGGCACCGTTCCATTCATTTATCCAATGGTGAGTCCTATCTTACACTAGACATTTTTGCCAACCAAGTTCCCGTGATCGCTGCGGGCCGTCTTTGCTCGAACAAACCAGCCACGGCCCGCGGCAAAGTCGCCGAGCCTGCGCGCGCTGTCACGCGGGTGGCTCCCGTGACCTCATGTCCTGCTAATAGGCATGGAGCACGTAGCGGGACGTGAGCTCTTCCACGTTTGCAACGGAGCACGGTTTTCAAGAAACATGCCTTTAGTTTTAGAGTTCAAGCGAAAGTCCTTGTTACCGGCCTTGTTTTTGGGTGATGCTGGTGTTGGACGCGCCAGATCCAGAATCTGCACTGTTTGGAGAAAAAGAGCGTTCTTACTCCACTGTGCGTGCCGCCCAGTGCAGGCAGGTGCCTGAGACCAACGTAGCAGACGGAGCATGTTGGGAGCCCAAGATGATGGATATTTTATCACCATGCCCTGCCCATGACCTCTATGAAATGAGGGTGGTCAGCCCCATATAAAACATTCTAGAGCAGCCACCCCCAACGGCGTCAGGTAATCATTTCAATAGAGAATTGTGTGTGTGTGTGCGCGCATGAGTTGGATGCTGCTTTGTTGTCAGATGAGAAAGAACCACATATGAATGTTTTAGGCAACATGTATGAAAACGGAGGAGGGATTAGACTTAGACACAACCTGAGCGCAATTAAAAGGACTTCTCAAGACCCCCCTCCAGAACGAACAGGGGATGATATTAATGTACAGTATCAATATATTATATATATGTTAAACTGATGTTTTCATTGGAGAATGTACATGGTGCATCAAAGTGCAAGTTTTAAGAACCCTATATAGATGTGTTCAGCGTTTGTGAGTACATCATTACTGTAAGTTATGTGTCTTTAGTGTTACATGTCCTAGTCATCGTTCCGTACGTCCTGGTCATCTTCCCGGACTCCAGTCATCGTTCGGGCTGCAGACTGCAGACCGAGGCAGTGTGCAATCCTCTTCTTTGTGATTGGCTGCGTGGTGATGGCCTCAGATCGGTGGACTACTGGATGAAAAAGGGCCACGCGAGGCTCTCTCTCCTCACTTCACGGACCAGCATGTGGGTCGTGCATGTTGCAATCTTCTCTGAACCAGAGCTGTTCTTTCGTGTGAAACCAATGAGTATCAGCCAATGGGTAGAGGCTTCCCTGCCGTTGGTGGGAGTATGATTGGGGATTATCAGGATTAATTATGGGTTTTGAATAGATTTTCTCTGTTTTAATCCATGCCAAGCGAGGTCAAACGCCAGCTCGATGCACCAAGCGAGTTTTCGTGTCGTCGTGGAATCCCCCAAGGATTCCACGCTGCTCCGCGGCCAGTTGAGGCGAAAGTCGGAATCCCTTCCGCGGAATTACGTTGTGCTTGCCCGGAATGCTGTTTCTTGTCATTGTGCTTGCGTTTTTTGTTGAAGTCCAATGTAACGGATTACTTCACGGCTTGCCAGAAAACCGTGAAGTAGACTTCATGACTTCATACTGTCATTCTTCAATCAGGCCCGCTCCTTGTCGCTATGAAAAGTATGGTTTGGGTGTGGGCTGCATTGCATCACACGTCTGGACCCGAATCTGACTGATCCGAGATCACTGGACTCCCCTCGAGCAATTCCCGGTGCTTCCTCATTGTTGCGGTAGTTGAGGTATGTGGAAGACGGGTGTGGATTTAAATAGGCAACCTCCCAGAAATAGACCGAAACCCATTGGTTGGGATCTCTATATAAAAACACACCCATATGCTGTTCGTCACTTGGCTTGTGGGACAGAGGGCTGTCTTGAGCTGAAAGTCTTCTCAGGGCCCTCTTCTGGATGTTGTACCATGGCAGAAGGTAGGTTGATGACACTGCCTTTGAAATGGTGGCAGATGATTGAAACTAGTAGCTAGACATGACATGGTGGAGTTTGCTCCTGGAACAAAATCCGGAAGGAAATACAAGGTGAGCACAAAGGGGGGCTGGCGATTTGTGAATCTTTCTCAAATGACCAGTGGAAGCTTTAGACTTCGTTGGCTCTGGCAGGCACTTGGAAGCCCACGCCTGGGACTTGCAAACAAACATAATATTCAAGGAGAGAGGACGAATTCTGAACGGATGTGACACTGTTTTGGATGTGAAAGCATGTGAGACCTGCCTGTGGGTCACTAAAATAAAAGCAAAAGCTGTGTCTTCCAGTTCTGGCTTGGCATAGCTTGGCTCCTCTTTGTTGGAGCCTTTTTAAACGATGGATGTTGCTGAGGATGCGACTCCCCTGGCAGCAACGCCTCCCAGGCTGCGTCTGCTGGGAGTGTCGAAACTCATCAATACCGGAATACACCATCCACTGTCAGTGGAATATCCTGGATCCTTCTACCAACTGGTTGGTGCAGCAAAAATTGGGAATCTTTCGATTCAAAAGTATCAATGATGTGGTTGGACAACGTCAAGAAACACAGTCACCTGCCATTTCGGCTTGAATCGGCTTCTCCTTCTCCTTCAGCTTTACGAAGGGGTCAGAGCTATCGAATGAAATGGCCACCTGCAGCTTCATGACCTGTTCCTGCAGACAGATCGCAACGAATCATTGGGTCCGCAACTACGAATAATTGGATGTGCCCAAGCTCTTTCGGCTAGACTCAGTTGTACAGCATGAGATGTGGGTTGCAGCTTCAGGAGTATGGCCAACAAACATGCAAGAACTAGATTGGGTGGTACCATATTTAGGTGCCATGACCAAAGGCTTCAAGACCACACCACCGTGTTGGGTGCGTATTCAGTATCAACCATTGTTTTTTTTGAGCCAAAAAGGCCTCAAGGCTTTTCAAGTTCTGCAGGAGCCCAGCACCGTCATCCATCTATGGGAAGATCTACGTCGGAGTGCCACCACAGGCTGTGGGAGCCCACACGGGGCACGGGGTGATCCACTCAAAGCTGGCCCAGCACGAGTCCTCGTTGGTTTGGTTTTGTTCAATTCCTTCGGATAGACGTGGGCTTGTGATCGATAGACATGTCCGTGTAGCCATAGTAGTGTGCGAAGGCACGTACTATAGAATGGGCCCTCTAACAAAAAGCTCTAAAGTCTGGTTCGGTCCAGCCGTTTACAATCGGAGTTAGCGGGTTCAGGGGAGTTGAGCTTTGTTATGCATGCAACGTGGCTTTGTAGGGTTCCACACGCTACACGCTGGCCCACACCTCATCTTCACCTGCTCACCCTTCTGGAAGTTTGTATGATGATCGATTTTTGGGGTCGATGGCGGATGATGGCGGTTAGGAAAATCCATGAAATTCCATGTAAATATTTGTAAATCGACTCCTTCACTCGACTGGGGTGATTGAAAAGGTCTTGTTCGACTGGGTCTTGGTCTCCAACTTCTCACACAGAAGTCCCGCACATAGGGCATAGTATAGTGAACCTAGGCCACAATTCTGGAAAGTTATAGGGTGTGTCTCAAACCTGGCTTGCCCCATGGTCGGCGCCCGATGGCAGCAGGAGTTCCTGGTGGTCTTCGACACCGGGAGTGGCAACATCTTCTTGCCGGACAGGTGGGGCGACCATCGACTGCTGCCATGGCGGTTGATGAACTTGGGCTCCAAATTATACTTTTTCAGGGATCACAGGAACAGGTCTTTTCACAAGCCGCATTGGCTAGTAAGCGAGCGGGTTAACCAGATCTGACCACAAGAGTAAGAGCATCGCATTGAGGCTGGTCTGGCTTAGAACAGAAATGCTTTAGGGAACGGTAGTGAAACATAAGCATTTTGGTTCATGATCATGGTGCAGATTTGACTATAAGTATGCAAATCTGACAATCCTGTCTCAATGTTCGAAAAGTTCTGGAACCCTTTTTGGCGGGGATCTTCCATGCACAGTTTTGGGTACGACACGCAGTGAGCAGGATAATCATCGACAGTTCCGTCAAGCGAGGCAGTGCCAATCGACTTCTTGCATGACCAAGCACACCTATGACAAGCTCCTTAGCAAAGGTGCACAGCAGGTGTGGGCCATGCTTTGCGCGTGGTTTTGCTCGCCACAGCAGAAGGAGAAGAATAGTTGAAGGTAGTGGTGGCCAACAGACTCGACTGAGAGATGCACTGACGTGATTCTGGGGGGTGGCCGTCATTGGCACAAAAACGCTGTTGGTGTCGGTTTGACCTCCCTCTGGGTAGATGCCGCTGCCTCTAGCACCGTCTGTCTTGGTGGTTGTGCTGGCAAGGTGCCCAACGCCACAGAAGAGGCGTGGAAACCGAATGAAACGGCTCTAATTTGCCTCTAAATAGTCTTCGATGGCACCATGAAAGCAAACATGGGGCTTTGGAAAAACTCAGATTTGGGTGGCGTTGTCCTCTGGGTCAACATGGGTTCCTTCCGAATCAACACACATTTGACAAGTATTTTAGTGTACCTATCCGAGACAAGGATCCTTGGTATCGGCTTGGTATGATCGGATGATTTGTTATGGTGTGCTGCAATTGATCCTGCGGGATCCTCCGGGACTCTTCTGAAGACTTACCAGTGAAGCAAGACAGCATGGATTCGTGACGCATATATATATATATATACTTCATCATATAGTACAGTGGACCATTCATGATGCAGGAACAACATGATTCCAAGTGAATGTCCTCGTTCTTCTCCATGGCCCTTAGCTTGTCCTTTGTGTGCTGCAAAGAGTATACATCATCATGACCAATGATATACTTGAAGCAGAAGGAGGTGCACAAAGCTTCCAGAGTGCTCAACCATGCACACACAAAAAACGAATTACGACATTAATATATATATATGTATAATCTCAAACCCGTCTATTGCAGTCTTGGGCTTTCGACCATTCCTCCACCTGTACTGTACATTTGTCATCCTCATGGTGCATCATGGGCGGTCAAGCGCTACAGGCAAACATACTGTAACTAAATCTATATTACTTGCCAGTGCCCTCTTATATAATTGCTTTCCCAGACCGTTGAAACCACCTCCCCTTTGCGCCATGGATTTACATGCCGGATGGCTTGCCATCGACGTTGCTCAAAGCTGTTGTGTGTGTGTGTTTTTTTGTCGGGCGCTCTTGGGCATCTAACGTTCGTTTTTGGTTCACTTGTGAGGGAGAAAGACATGGATGTTCATTGATTCTCACCAGCATTTTGTTCTTTAGCCAGATGACTCATTCCGCTTGAAATACGGATCAGTGAGGGGATCGGTGCACGACACCCTTCCAACCTGTGTCTCCATGTGAACAGCCTACTATTGACCCCTTGTTCACCACGTGCCATGTAGTGCAGTCATGCCAATCCCAGGTCAATGTTTGGAAGATGTTTCAGCCCCGCAACATGTCACTGCATCACTGGACCGCAACAGTCATTAACAGAACATGTAGAAACAAGAAGCTACTAGGAACAAGTGCATCGCTACTAGTCACAAGTGCCTTACTAGTAGTAACAAGTAACAAGAAGCTATATTATGTCTTCCTCTTTCGCAAGACTTTCCTTCCATCAATCCAGTCTTTCTTTCGCAAGATGTTTTGTCTGGTGGGATGGACATCCATCGACACACTGTCCGCAATTCCCCATATAAATTGGCATGTTGGCTAGTTGGGGCTAGTTGGCAGCACCGAGGCTACTGTGAGTGACTATGCTTTCTCACTGAATCACAAACGTAAAACGACCAAAAGTCCTTCAGTCCAAAACGTTTGGAACCGATGGTCCCACTGTCTCCTTCGGTGTGGCTCTGCGGGTGTCTACTAGCCCCCCTGAGGCTTGGCCAGCATGCCTTTTGATCGCAGTTCTAATTTGGGCTTCGACCCATTGGCTGAAGCAACGCAGTTCGACACCAGCCAGGAGTCGAGACTTGTTTTTTGTGTGTTTGGATGCCAAGAATAAATAGACAGACAAAATGACACCTCCATCATATGAATTGCTTTTACCATCCAAGTGAGGGGGATTACTCCACCTTTCCACAAAATGTGGCAAGGGAAAGCGTGGAAGCGCCCGTGCAGACGGTCCGCAAGTTCGTTCATCCAAGTGAGGGGGTTTCTTAATCAAAGGTCGATATCCGCGGACAATGATGTGTGAAGGGTTTATTTGTTTGCATCTCTTCGGCTATACCTCTGACCCAGTAGCAGTCCAAGAACCGTCCTCTATTTCTGCTTTCATGATTCCACTAGGGACCCAAACAGTTAACCTATCAACTGTTACTATCTAGGAGGATCACCCAATCCATACAAAAAGATGAGGGCCCAAGCGCTCCATCAGGAGCGATGAGCCCAAGCGCTCCATCAGCACGGAGACCCTCTCCACCGCCACAGGCGATGTCTTTGGGCCGGGTCGGTCGCCAAGAGGGTCCTCCCCGGCTTTATTGCCACGTTTGGGTAGGTCTTGCTGGGAAGAGTATCCGCCACTCGTTTGAGTTGCGGAAAAGGAGGTTGCTGAAATGTCAGCCAATCTTTGTGTTTATTTGTGTTTGGTCAGTTTGGTTGTCTATGGTTGTCTTGTATACAGTGTGTAGAAGAATAAACCCTGATTTCCAGCTGGCGCAGTCGGTGTCGCTCAGGGAGTGATAGCCCTCGCAGCTCTTCCGAGAAGGCGGGAAAGAGCTGGCTATACAATGCTGACATATAGATTTGCTCAACGGTTCACTTAAAGACATGTACAGCCCGAAAGACCTCTAATTCTTAGATGTTCTCAGAACCCACTGTGGCGGGAACACTTTGAAAACCAAGCGAAACATTCTTACATTGTTTTTGCAATTGTTTAATTGTTTAAAACATTGTTTATACCATTGTTATATTGTTTCAAACATTGTTTATAATATTGTTATATTGTTTAAAACATTGTTTATAACATTGTTGTATTGTTTAAAACATTGTTTATAATATTGTTATATTGTTTAACACATTGTTTACAACATTGTTGTATTGTTTGAAACATTGTTTAAAACATTGTTTATAACATTGTCACATTGTTTAAAAGATTGTTATATTGTTTAAAGCATTGTTTATAACATTGTTACATTGTTCAAAACTTTGTTTATAACATTGTTTTCGTTCGACACATTGTTTATAACATTGTATACAACATTGTTAAACTGTTTGAAACATATGATGTATTGAACCTTGAGAAAAAGTTGCTGTAGACTTTTTGTTTGTTCAAACAGTTTGTTCCTTAGTCATAGGCTAGTAAACAGTTTGCTCGCCTCTGAAAACCTCTTCACTTCAACGATTTGAACACTCCATGCTGCCACCAAGCTTTCAAGCCACAACAGCCCAAGCGCGCCGCAACGTTGCCATGACATACTTGTATTGTTGGTTCTGCTTGATGGACATGTTTACACCCTACCTGCAGCCAAGTGATGCAGCACGGACACACCTACTGGCTCGGGATTGCGAATGTGACTTCTTGGGCACTCCCTCGCCAGAGCCTAAGGCCAAGAGGCAAAGGTTGGGCCCAGTGGATTTCACCCCACCCAAAGAGCCAAAGAAGTGATGAATGCTGATCAGCTTGCTGACATTGCTAGGCGATATGGGGGTGGCCACAGGCCTTGTGTGCCCAGACGTGCCCAGAGCGGCCACAGGCCTCGTCCGAGCGGCCACGGGCCTGGTCCGAGCTTCAGGCACAAAAGCCGCGCTGCTTTGCTCCGATTGTTGGCGGCTTCTTTTCGCAGTGTTGCAAGTGCTGCCAGCTTGGAGCTGTGTGACCTGCTTCTTGAAACAGCAGACACTGTCCAGGTTCCAGCTTGGATTCCACTGGTTGGGCTTTATGGTCCTGTGCTGACTTGGAGAGCAGAAAGATTGCGCACAACCAGGCGTTGTCTTCTAACAATTTTGGGCCAGCTTTGGCGGAAGCTTCTTGAGCCTTGGGGCCGCTACCCATGGCCACTGGCCGAGTTGCCAGCTTTGAGCCCGGAACTCCAACAAGAAAAGGCGCGCCAATTCTTTGGTGAGAGGGATTGTTGCTTGGATAATTTCAGCTTGCAGCTGAAAGAGCTCATCCAGAACGAGGAAACCTTACTCGTTAAATGTTTTCAAACCTCCGGTGATGGGGACGCCAAAAAAACAAGCGAAATATTCTTTTGAGGTTGGAAATTGTTTCAACAATTGTTCTGACAATTGTTTTAATTGTTTTCTTTTGTGGAAACAATTTATTGAAAGTTGTTTGCATTTGTGTGTTTTGTTGCTGCTGTGCTACCGCTTCTAGACTCTGGTCCAAGAAGGGTATTAGAACCATGACAGGATGTGTTTTCTTCCATGGCAGAAGAGGTCAGGTATGTTCCCACACTGGACATTCAGGATTTCAATCCAATGTGTTTTCATGACCACCGCTATGCTTTTGCAATGTGCAAGTGCATTTGCTTGGAGACGCCATGGTTTGCAGCTCTATGTGTGTTTGCGCTGATTGGCTGGTGCACTGTGTGCTACTTCTTTTGTGAGCGTTTCAGCCCCCTGCGCTCCCGCATAGAGGCATCATATAGTGATGCCTCTGAGGGGTTCATGTCTGCTGATGACGCAGGCAACTGAACACTCAATTCATGTTGGCGTTGGCCTCAGGCCAGGTTTTATTCGGCCTCAGGCCAGGTTCACGGGCACAGAATTTACAAGCTTCAGCCGCAGTTTGCGGCCTGAAAGTCCAGACAGCATGGACGGCGCTCCTTTGCTGCGGGCGCCGCTGTGGCCTGTGTGCCGTCCAGATTCCTGCCCACATTTTTTGACCCCGCAAGCCTTTGCGTATTTCCAGCGGTTGCATGCCTTTTTCCTTGAAGTGATTCTACGAAAGGGTCCCAAACCAACTGCTCTTTCAGAGGAGCCATTGGTGTTAGAGTTTAGGTCGCCAACAGCTCTTCCGTACCATGTGGCCGTTGCTTACTCTACAAGGAAAAAACCTATCCAGGCAGCGCTCTTAGAGTTGAAAGAGCTAGATGATGATTCTGCCCCCCCAGACATCTGCCAAGTGTTGGCTTGCGAGAAGAGCCTTGATGGACATCTAACCCTGAAGAGCGATGTCCAGGTGTGCGTTCACTGCGCCACCAAAGCAGAGGACTGGCGCATTTCAGTGCTTGGCGTTGGCCCTGTCAAGCGACTGAGCCATTTTGACATTTTATGGAAGGAGGCGGTCGAGCGCAAGTCGCTTGAAAGGACAATGGATGAGGAGAAAAAGCTAAAGCTGGCCATGTCCGCCTTGAAAGCTTTGAACAAAAAGCCACTTCCGAAAAAAAGGGCAGCGCGCTCCAGCCTGGCCAGCAGTTTCGCTAAGATGGCCAGACGAGACATGTCCCCTAGCCCAAGTCACGGTGGGTCTTCTCAGTCTGACTCAGATACTGACAATGAGCTTGAGGCTGCGCCAGAGGCGAAACCTTCTGAGCCAGGGCTTGGGCCACCGGCCAGGTCGACTGAAGTAGAGAGAGAGACTGGCTCAGCCATGCCTTCTGAGCCAGCGCTTGGGCCACTGGCCGCGCCAAGGCCCAAAGTCAGGCATAATGTTCGACGTGCTAGTGTTTGGGGCACTAACCCATCCTTTCAAATCGCACCAATCCACGCAGCTGGGAGCAAAGAGCCCACAGGATGGGGTGCTATTTGTGGGCGCCACACAGACACCAACCGCCCTGGCCTACAGTGCAAAAAGGCTATGTCAAAGTCTGGCCTGTCAGACGCTGAGTGTCAACTCAGACTGAAAAGGTGGTTGGTAAGTGGTCTTGATGCGACGTCTTGGGGGAGCAACAAGCGCGATTGCCACGTTAGCATGGGTGGGATCCAGCTGGCCCAATTTGCAGATGGCCTGGATTCAGAAGCCTTGGACGCCCTTGTGGGCCATGTAGCTTGATTGGGCGAGTGGTTTCAAAAAGCGAGGGCCACCTGTCAGTGTCAGCGGTTGGCTTCCAAAAGTCACAAGCCAAACGTCACAAAGATTTGTTAGAATGTTTGGAACATTTCGAACAATTTCATATCAATTTTAGAAACAATGTAACAATTTTAGATCCGTACACAACTCATGGTTTTCCGTACACAACTCATTGTTTTCCGTACACAACTCATGGTTTTCCGTACACATCACATTCTTACATTGTTTTCGCAATTGTTTGCGATATTGTTTGAATGTTTTAGACATATTTTCTGCAATTTGTGCAATCGCTCTCACTCAAGTGGCCACCAGCCTTTTGACAAGCCTTGGCCCTTGGCCAGCCATGGCGAGCACTTCAGAGAGTTCTGAAAGTGCCGAGAGTGAACAGCCAGCTGCTGAAGACGCCTGTGTAGACAGTCCTCGGCCACAGGCCGGGTTGCCAAGGCCACAGGCCAGGAGTGGGCGAGCCTCAACAGCAGCTTCCTTGGCAGGTGGCCTTGCCCGCATTAGCTTGACCTTGCGGAAGCCACGTTGCTGCCAGTTGTGCAATGGCCGCTCCACTGACGAGTCCCCGTTAGAGTACCCCACTGATGAGATCTTCCCTGAGGTGGAAGGACGCCTGCCTTGGCGCAGCTAAGAGGAAGACTCTGGGGAGACTGTCCGCGTTCCAAGTGGCAGGCTGTGCCTGATATGTTTTAACGTATACCGGCCCTGGGTATCCTGGCTAAGGTTGCTTAAAGCCCCCACCGTTTTTTAAAGCAACCTGTGCCTTTGCCCAAGGCATTTGAGTAGGCCCCCCAGTCCTAAGGCAAGCAGACCAAAAAGGCAGCAGGCCCCCAGTCCTAAGGCCTTCACAAGGAGCATAAGAGCGTGGATGACTACTACAAGCACGCGTCGAAGAAGGCAACCAGAATGATCATAGAGGGTTTCTAGCCTCCCGCAAAGCCTGGATCCGACAGCGCAATGAAGGCGGGCCCACTCGCAAACGCCTTCAGAGCAAGAAGGAGCTCCAGGAAGCCTTGAAGCAAATGCAGATGACCAGAAGCACAGGTGGCAAATTTATCGCCCCCAAGAAACAGTTTGTTACTCAGGAGGCATGGGACTCCCAACAGTATGGGGACTACGACTCCACCAAGGAAGTGATAGAGCACCTCTGGGGTAGAGATGTGAAAGGAATTTGGATTCATGCTGGCAAGAAGGGTGTGTATGACTACGAAGAGTACCAGGACTCAGCCCTGCAGGAGTCTGAGTTGGTTCACGACAGTCGCACAGGCTTAGACGAAGGCCTTGCTAGGAAGAGGAAAGCAGCATTGGAGCAGATCAATCAAGGGTCCCTGCAGCGAGACAAAATGGCAGTGGAAAGCAAAGGCTCTGAGCTCAGTCTGGAAGGAGTCCTCGACGCCTTGCGCCAGGGAGGCTACCAGCCGAGTTCGCCCAAATCAAACCTTGCGGCCGCTCACCAGGCAGCAGTCGAAGACAGTCAGGATGACTCAAGCTCAGAAGGCACTAAAAGCAGCAGTGGATCAGAAAAAAATGGATTGTCTGCTTCCTTTTTTGGCCCCAGCAAACCAAAACAACATCAGGCTCCAGCAAACCTTGACGCAAAGAAGAAGCCAGGTAGACGCGGCGAGCAGCAAGCCAGCAATCCAGCCACAGCCAGCAGCAAGCCCTCAACCAGCAGGCCTTCAACAGCGGCCACAGGCCAGGATCGCAACAGCCTGGCCCAAGAGGTCGTGATGCCAAAGGGAAGGCGTCGTCATCATCAACAGGCTTTGGGAAGCAGGGCAGCCAGGACAGTGGAAACACACTGCTTGCAGATGGGCGAGCCCAGGCCTTGCGCAACCTGCAGGACAAAGTTGTTGAACTGAAGTCCAAGTTGGCAAAGGTGAAGGTCGATGACGCAGTGCCAGAGCCTGACGCCCACTCTCAAGCTACCTTCAAGCAGAGCTGTGCCGATCGAATTGCTGAAGTCAAGTCCATTGGCAGACAGGCCAGGGAACACAGCAAGCGAATGGACAAAAGCTCCAACAGGGACTTGTTCGACAATGAACTCAAAGACCTCGACTCCCTAGAGGCAGCAGCTTTGGCTTTCCAGAACCTGTTCACAGCAGTATCAAGCCCAACTTCTTCTCCAGAGTCTGTGGTCACGTCTGTTGAGGAGAGCAGCAGGCACCTGGAACTGTTGGGCGTTGAATCTTTGGGAACCTGCTATACTTTGAGGCTAGCTTTGGCCAAAGCTGCTCAGAATTGCCTCTACAGTGAGTATGACAAGTTTTATGAGCAGTCCTGCTGAGCAAACCTTCTATGAAGAGCTTGCAAGCTGCCATAGGGTCAGAGCAACTTGGTGAGTTTGTCTTGGCAGAGATTGAAAGCCGTATTCTCCTGAACCTGAGAGCTGTCAAGGCTTTGGACGTGGAGGCTTTGTCAGCTGGCAAAGAGAATGTAGCCCCAAACAGCTGGCACCGACCATGCTGCCAGGGCAGCAGCTGTGGATGGAGTCGCGCCAGCGGCTCATGGTAGGTGAGGAAGCTCTGATGTTTCAAGGCTTTCCCATTTTGCTCCTCCAAGACCTTCAAGATAAATGCAGCCTGCCTGCTGCTTGCTCTTCTCATTCTTTCCTCCAAGACCTTGCCGGCAACGCCATGGCGCTCCCAGTGGCTATGGCCATGTTCCAAGCTGGGGTCGCGTCCCTCCCATGGATTCCTCGACGAGACGATGCAAGTGATCCCGGCTCAGAAGATGTGGCAACTGCCTTGGCTGCAGTGGCTTTGTTGAAGCAACGGCAGCCAAGGCCACTGGCCAGGTAGTGGAGATTCCATGGCTGCACTGGCTTTGTTCAAGAAACGGCAGCCAAGGCCACTGGCCAGGTAGGGAGATGGGCTAAGGCTAAGGTTTTGCTTGATGACTTGCTGGCCGCCAGTTTGAATGAAAAAGTGCGTTCGCTGATTGGCGCCGTTCGCTGATTCGGTCATGTTTGCAAAGCATACTTTCTCCACATGTTCAAACAATAACGACAAGTATTTCAAACTTACAAACCGCTATATATCCAAATGATCCAACTGATTTCACAATTTAAGAGGCAATTTGACGATCTTTCCAATGCTACAAACGATGCTTGAAACAATCAAACAACTTTAGAAACAGTTTGTGAAACACTTAAGCAAGTTTAGAAACAATTTTAGAAACAATTAAATAACTTTAGAACAATTTTAGAAACAATTAAACAATTTTAGAAACAACTTTAGAAACAATTAAACAATGTTCGAACAATGTTACAAACAATTAAAATAACTTTAGAAACAATTTTAGAAACAATTAAACAATTTAGAACAATTTTACAAACAATTAAAACAATTTTAGAACAATTTTACAAACAATTAAAACAATTTTAGAAACCATTTTCAAAAATATTAAACAATTTTGGAAACAACCTAAGAATGTTAGAGGTGTGCAGGGGATGCCTGGAACCTCAGAGCCTTTAAAAACATCTAATCTAATTCAATTTCCCCTTGACATTCCGTCCCGTGAGAAGACATTTGACAAATCATGTTTTCGTCTTGGTCAAAGCTTCGTGTTCGCTGAAGTCCAAAAAGATATAGCACTTCGTGCTGATCTCGACAAACAGATGGAGCACTTAGTACTCCAAGAACCATGGGAAGGATCCATCTGTTGTACTCCAAAACCATCGGTTTTCTTCACAACCGGCTGATGTTGTCCCACCATGGGAAGGTCAGAACCGGCCGATCTGCAGGTGCCCGATCCTGTGACCTGCTGGCCATTCAAGGTGACACCCGGGGAGTTCAACGGGGAGTCCAACGTGGTTGTTCGTGCTGAAAGAGCTTGGTTTGGTGCGTAGTTTGCTGAACAGATCTTGGACTATTCTAGATTGAAGAACATGGGGCCAGACAACGAAGACAACGAAGAATCATTTGTGGAACCCAGCAACGATTGAGATGTGTGAATTGAAGCATCGCTACTTGCAGAAGCTATTCCACCTGCCTTGATTTATTGAGTAGATCAGAAGACGAAGAAAAGGTGTTCTGCTTGTGTCAAGACCTGTTCGAATGATTTCGTTTGGGGCTTTCCACCGACGAAGTGCCAGTCCCAGCAACTGCCCTGAGCCCGGAATCGAGGACATCTTTGGAGGTTGCATGGGATCCATGGCCACGTGGCACAGATGCGGCAGAGGCTTCGGGCCTCTGCGGCGCGCGGAGGTTTCGCCACACCCGTTGTTCTTTTTGGTGACATCCAGCTAAGCCTTCTAAGCTCCTATGATAGACTCATCGTTTGATAGAAGCTACATGAAGCTACAATGCGTCCAATGTCATGCCTTTCTGGCGCATTTGGTTGGGTGATGTTGCGTGTATTGTTGGAGTTGGTCACCCTGAGATCCAGACACGACACGGGGCCCTGTTCGAAAGTGAGCAAGCTAAGCTGGTGAGCCAGGCAGCCGATCGGGTCGTTGCAAAACGACTGTTCTCATCAAACCAACTCCCAATCCACCCGTCGACCGATGCCCAAGGATGCATCTCCCCAAACCCGTGACGTCTCATCTGGGTGGAACGCCGAGCAGCTTGGACATCAGAGATTCTTGTCGTGATCAAGATGCACATCTGGTATGGCGCGCGATGAGAGTTCAGACTAGTGTGCAGTGCTTTTGTTCTGACCCGTCGCCTGAAACAGTATCTCCGTGTTCAGATTGCAACACACTACTACTATCTACTACTCATAGTAATAGTATTCGCAATGCGCCAGGATTTGTTCCCTTTTGAGACACTGGGCCCCAGGTACAAGTTTGGCCCCCCCAGGCTGGATGCGGGGCGCTAGACCGCTAGGACTCAGAAACGCGCGGAAGCGGGGAACCGCTACGGCAGCGGTTTTTCTTTGGGGATTTTAAGCCTTTGGGGGGGAAAGACGGAAAGAATTAAAGTATACTTGGAATTTTTGATGTTGAACTACTCAGCGAAATCAGGTCATGATAACTCATTGAGCTAGCAGTTTTTCAATGACAGCTGTTCGGCCTCAGAGCGACCCTCAGACCGACCCAGAGTTTAGAGTTTCGATCCCCAAGCCAGGGTTCAGAGTTGGAATGCAACTACGAGCCACAACCCAGAGTTCATTTCACTTTGAAGCGCCGACTGACATGAAGTCTGACATGAAGGCCGACTGTCACACTGGAGCCACACGGTTGAACAACACCATCTTCATGGTGCAGCTGCAGTGAAGCAAAGATTTGTCAACTCATGTCCACTACAGGTCTGAGCTGTACGGTACAAGCTTTGGCATTATCGATGAGGACATCAACCGCTTGATTCAGGCCAGGTCTTTTCTGTTGGCTTTGCTTGAATCACTCGAGTCTAGCACACAGCACCAATAGCTTGTAGCAAGGAAAGCTTGGAAAGGTGTGATTGTTCTGTTTCAGGTGTATTGGACGTGCACAGCAGCAGACTGGTTGCGATTTGTTTGTTGCATTCTTGCATGCAGGCAGTAGTACCAAATCCCGCAAAACATCAGGAGCTGAAGCGGATGGGTTGTCACTGTGCCTTTTTTGAGCCAAGTTAAAATTATCGCGAGAAGATAGGTTGTGCATGGTGTTCAACGTCCATGAGGGTCCTGATGTTTTCTCTTAGGCGTTAGATGGGAGGGCACGGCCACTTTCAATATCGTTCACAGGCCCTTGTAAACCCTTTGTAAACCAAATTGCAGATTCCTCAAATGACCTCTTCTACTTGCGAACAATCAAAGACCCATCACCTCCATTTTCGGAGACTGTGTAGGAGATCGCCACAAAGCTTCGTGAGCTCAAGCGTCTTTGTGATGGATGGCCATCCTATGGATGGGTACAATCTCAAGACAATCGAGTGCTGCTGAGGTCCGGCTGTCAGGGGTCAGTGGAGATTAGAGTGTGTATTTGAATAGGGAGACAATGGGTAGACGGGTTTATTTCCCTTCTTCTAGGGGTTCGAACTGGGTGGTCTCCCTATTTTTCCCACACCCATATGGTCTTGACCCGTTTCGCTTTACTGGCACATGCCCTAATTTGTGCGTCCACCTCGCCTCGTGCGTGATCGTTTTTTTGCAGGCTAATGGAACCAGATCGATTCGTTGAGGTTCCTCCTAGCGCGGCAGTTGAACGTGCAGAAGGCCTTGGAGATGCTTCAGAACACACTCCAGTGGCGCCAACGAAGCGGCCACCTGGAGATACCTTATCGAGCGCGCCAAAAGCTCACCCTGACAACTCACCCTGGAGAGTAAGAGCTCCAGATGGACATGATATGATGATATATAAACTTTAATGTTATATATTCATCTTCAATAATTACCTTAACTGAATGATTCTTAATATAGTTATTAACAAAGATTCTAGATTCAGATGGGGCTGCGTTTTTTCTGATCTATTTGTTGGGTTGCATCCTGAAGTCTATGGCATTCTATGGTTGCAGATGATGCACAGAAGAATGCTTGGGGTTGGGGCATTCTGCCAGCGGCGGTGTTGCTGCAGCTTTGGGTAGGCAAGACTTGTGACCAAGCAGGTTTGTGCTTCATGTCCAACCTATAGCCAAGTTGCTAGACCAGCCATGGTAGCGCAGTTTCCTGTCACTGCGGTTTGCAGTTTGGTACATTCCCTCTTGCCCAGGTGTTTCCAACGTGCTGCCTTTGTGGGACAAGGCAGTGAAGCTGTGCACAAGCTGTGCGCACGCCACCGAACAACACCACTACTCTTGGCTTTTGATGGCTTTTGTAACTTTTTGAGGTACGATACGTCCAAGATGCCGCTAAAGTTATGAGCTACTGTCGTCAGGCCCTCCACGAGCGTTTCGACCGCTACTTCAAGTGCTTGGCGGTCACTGGCACCGATCACGATGGAGATCTGGTCGCTGTCGAACGGCGGGGGCGGCCCAGACATCTCAGTTTGAGTGGTTGCTAGTATATATATACATGTTGCATACTCTTTCTGCCATTCTCCGAAGGGCTCAGGTTTCTAAGAGGTCTGTTCCATGTTTTCTTGACTTCTAAGAGGGTCATTGTGTCCTTTGAACTCCCACGATCCAATTCCATGGACCCGGTAAGACTGACCTGGAGACCGACCGTTCGACTGGAGACCGTGGGTGGCGGCTCTCAGCTCGCGCTGTTGGCGTCGACACATCGACGAACAGAAACAGTAGACACAAAATGAGCAGTGAGAGACACCGTTAGTAGATGTTAGTAGACATATTGTAGACACATGTAGACACAGTTTGCTAACAGTGTGTTGCTGACACGGAGGAATGTGGACACAGGTGGACACCCGTCCAGTGTTTTACAAACCTGTGATAACGATCAACGATCAACAGAACTTTGGGTTGCCCACTGAGACATGGACATCTACAGAGATGGCTTTTGACTATTGCTTGGTGACTAATAGACCCAATAGAGGGGATACCCCCCCGGTTGTGAATATATAACTAATATGGTACCTGGCAGCCAGCCCCCACCAGGAACCCGTTTCGAAGTACGAAGACCGGAACCAGACCGGACCTTCTGGCGGGTCCGGTGACACCCGGTGCCGGTGGACCGACGGTGTCCTGGTGGACAGAATTACAGTGAACAACTGACAGGACCTCAGGTTTCAGCATGTTTACTGTCCAGTCAGCATGTCAGTTCCCATGTTTGAAACATGGTTTGAGTCTTTTTATGCCTGGTGTGAAAGTTCTGATGATGCATGGCATTCAGTTGGCTGTGCATGGATGATCGCCGGATCAAGCCGGCCCGAAAGCCAATGACCTGACTAAGGTCCAGAGCAGTCCGGCCCGCCAAAGGAAGATACACAAGCAAAGCATAACAGAACAGAACATGTTCGACACAAGACACCACATGGCTTGCAGAGGCCATAAAGCACATGTTTCACGACATATACCTTTTTCGTGTTCGCATTTTGAAGAAAAGGCTGCGTCGCTGCGCTCACTAGCTTTCAGACTGGTGGCGCGGAGCCTAGCAATGGCTGATGGGGGCGACAAACCCTTTTGGAAAGACGATGAGATCGTCTGCGACAAAGATGGAGTGCCCCACTACACCGGCAGGTATCCCAGCCTCATGAAGGAGTATCGCCGTCGAGTCCTTTTCTGTTTCAACAACCTGGAAGGAGACGGCAAGGACGCAACAGAAGAGGCCAGGGATTTGGAAAAGAAGAAAGCCCGATTTGCCAAGAAGCTCCTGGACGCCCTGCACGGCGAAGCTTGGCGAGCCTGTCAGGATCTTCTGACCAAGGCTGATGAGCTCAAGAAGCCAAATGGATACAAGTTGATCTTCGAATGCCTCCAGACCATCGAGAAAGCACCGATCATCCGGAAGACGGAAGCCTTTGACCAGTACTTTGAGAACTGCTTTAGGCGCAAAGGCCAATCGGTGGATGACTACCTCCGGAGGCGGAAGCAAGATTGGGAAGATCTTTGTGATCTGAGTGACAACACCTCAATGAGCGAGGACCTTCGCTCATACTTCTTGCTGAAGAACATCAACCTGGGCCGTGATGACAGGAGATCCATCCTCCTTGCAAACCAGTCGGATTACACCATCGCTGGAATCGAGAAGGCGCTTCGTGTCAGCTACTATGATGTCCATGAGAAGGAGAAGAAACAAAGCTGGCAACCGAAGCAAGACAAGCCACACCGGCGTGATGGTGGGTTCCGCAAGCGCGGATGGGCTCATTTGGCTGAAGAGGTTGATGATGAGACCGCCGAGTTCGAGATTCAAGAGTATGCCAACTACGACCTCGACGAGAATGACATGGAGCAAGAAGATGATGAAGAGGCCTATCAAGTCGAGGAGGCCTATGAAGTTGAACAGCACTCGGATGAAGGGGCATCACAAGACGAAGATGTCTACAATGCCTATGCAGCCTTCGACAAGATGAGAAAAGGCTACAAGGAGAGCCGTGCCAAGTTGAAGGAGTTGCAGAAGAATCGAGGCTTCTTCCGAGCAGATCTTCGTGGAGAGCTCACCTATGATGAAAGGAAGCAAGCGATCGACAAGGAGAAGCAACGGACAAGATGCGGCACCTGCGGCCACGTCGGCCATTGGTCGGGGGATCCTCAATGCCCTCGCGCATCCAAGTCCGGTCCCAAGAAGATTCAGTCAGGTGCAAGTGGAAGCAACAAGAAAGGCAAGGGCAAGGGCAAGTCCCGTGGCAAGGCCTATTTGGTCGGAGATGGACCTTTGTTGTTTTCGCTGGATGATGATGACGGAGAAGAAACGCATGCAGCCTACATGATTGGTCCTGGGGAGAAGGAGGAAGATCAGATGCAGCAAGATGCCGGGCTCAATGACTTTGATGAGCGTCGCAAGACATCGGCCAGTCAGGCCGTGAGCCCACGATCTTCTTCGATTTGGGAGCATGTTGCACCGAATGACATCCCCACAGCTTATGCCGGCGCCACTACGATCGCTGGCCCACGGCTTGGTTCAGGTTCACAGCAGGTAGCAGAGATCACATCACAAGTTGATTGGATGGTCCCGGTTGCTTCAGAGAAGATGTCCCTGCTGTATGTCAACAGCTTTCAGGAGGTGATGCCAGACACGCCAATCATGGAGATGAAGGCCCGTGAGCTGCAGGCAGAATGTGAGCATTGGAACCTCCAGACATCCGGCACCAAGGCACAGATGCAAGATCGTTTGAACAGCTTCTTCCGAGGAGATGCAGTTTTGAAGAAGGGCAGCTCAAGTCGCTATGTGAGGTTGGTCACCGAGGCCCCAAGGCCGAAGTCCGTGGTACAGCCAGCTTCACCCAAGAGGATGCCAATGTCAGCCAGTTCGGCACCCAACTCACCGGCACCAAGTTCCAGCGTTCCCCATGGCAGTCCGGCATCAGTTCGAGTCACCACGGCAGTCCGACTGCACGGAGGAGGCCTGGAGGAGGAACCGCAGAGCCAAGGACTGATTCTCCCAAAGTCCAAGTCGCCGATCTATGTCGATGCCACTGCCGCTACAACTTCGACTACATCCATTGCACCAGGACATCAGGGGTACACTGTTGGCGGGACTTTTCGTCAAGATCCTCGCTCAGGTATTCCAATCCCTACGGGCATGGCAGTGGGAAAGGCGACCATGGAGGTCACGTGTCCGATCTGCGAAAGCGCTATGGTTCTTCGTGCGAACCGAGTTGATGGTGGTCTTTTCTTTGGTTGCAGCCGTTTTGGAAAGCAAGAATGCACTGGCACTCGACGATTTGATGAGGTGGTGCGGCCGGCATCACAGTATGGCCACCGGGCATAGCCCGGCAAGTGCATTCGATGGCAGCAACAATGTATCACCGCCATTCTTGGCAAGCGCTTTCATGAGCCGGGATGGTGAGCATGAGCCGAATTCGATCCTTGAGCCCAATGCCAAAGACTTCGAAGCGAACACGATGAATTCACTGCATGATGAAGGTGGGCATGACTATGATGATGGTCCACAAGATGAGTCGCGACTTTGTTTGCTGGATTCCGCATGCACGGCCTGCATGCACAGCCGGAGGTGGAGACAAGCCTATGAGCGAACACTTCCTGCAGGCCTCAGCTGCCAGAAGACAGATCAAACCAAGGTGTTCCACTTCGCCAACGGAGCATCTACCGAGGACAGAGTTGCTGTTTGGGAGATTCCCATTTTTCTTGGAGGTCGTAGAGGACAGGTATACAGTGCTGAACTTCCAGAAGGTTCTACACCGCTGTTGCTTTCCATTCCTGCCATGACAGCATTGGACATGACCCTCCAGATGAAGCAACGCAAAGTTCTTGTTCAGTCGCTCAACATTGAACTTCCCATGTTTGTCACAAAGACAAAGCACCTCGCAGTTGAAGTGGCGTATAAAGAAGGTTCAACAATTCCCGAGCTTTCGATGGAAGCAGCCCCTTCTGTGATGTCTGACAAACGTGACCTTATGGTTTACTACAGTGAGGAAGCAGAGTTTCCTTTGTTGGGCGAGATGGCCGATGTTGAGGTCTCCATGTTCTCCCGCAGCAAGGACAAGCAGCAACCAACTCTTGGAGCACGTGGCGTCTTGGACAATGATGCAAGAGGCCAGCTGTCTGAGAGAAGAGCGAAGGAGTTGCAAGCAAAAGCTCAGAAAGCACAAGCAGTTGATTCTCGCACCTGGGCAGCTTTGAAAAGACAGTACAGTCTTGCAGAGCAATGGGCGACCAAATCTTTTTCCACCACAGTGCTCTTCGAACCTTTTGGAGGGAATTTTGGAGTCACAAGAGTAGCATCCCATGTTCACGGATGGACGAACAGCCAACCGCTGGATCTCATGGATGGCTATGACATCATTTCCCCCGGAGGCCAACGACTGTTGTGGAAAGTTTTGGAAGAACATGATCCCTACATGGTTCTCATCGCCTTCCCATGTACTTTCTGGAGTTTGTTGTGCAACCTCAGCCAAAGTGTTGACTGGGGAAAATTGAGGAGAACATTGGGTCGAGCAACATTGCTTTTGGTCGTACGCATTTGTGTTTTTCAGCACCGCAGAGGACGTTTCTTTTTGCTAGAGAACCCAGCCGGGTCTATGGCGTGGGTATTTGAGAAGATCATTGCAAAATTGTTTGTTCTTACAGATGCTGTTTACACCACAGGCGATCAATGCAGATACGGCAAAGTTGATCTGGAGAGTTCGAGGCCCATCAAGAAACCAACGGGATGGCTCAGCAACAACCAGTTTGTCCTCAATCAGCTGGGTCGCAAGTGCACATGTCGTTGGGGTTCACACCAGCAAGTTTTGGGGAGCAACCAATTTGGTTCCAGAGCTCTTCAAGCAGCAGCATACCCTGAAGGCCTTAGCCGGGCGATTTGTTCCGGCATTCTCATGAGCATGAAGTTTGAGTACAGCCTCGCCATGTCTTACAAAGCAGGTTCACACAGCTTTGTCTCCTTTGAACTTGCCTTTCCAGCTCGTGATGAGGTGGATGTTGATATGGAGGAGGCAGATCGGGAGGAGGTCACCAGGGAAGATGCGCAGCATGACAAGTGGACGGTCATTCAACCAGATCGTCTCATCCGAGAGCATTTTGTTCCAAGGTTGAGACTTTTCATGCCGGCAGCTTTGACAGTGCCACCCATTCCGATTCACCGGATCTTGCCCGGGAGACGAACTGTTGCCAAGTATTTGAACCACAACAGTGAGGTTGTTGACAATGAAATTTATGATGATGAATGGGCAACAGGTGGTGTGAGATCTATGTATCGTACATGGGTGGGCCACACAGAGTTTCGTTTCCAGCCAGAGGAGCTTCAAGAGCGTTTTCAGCCTGTTGCAATGAACCAACCTTCACAACCGGAGCTTGTTGATTTTTCTCCTTTGACGCCGGCACCGGCGACACCTGCACCTGGTACACCAGGTATTCTGCAGAGGAGAAGGGCACGTACACGACAGCTGCAACGTTGCTTCTGGACTGAGATTGAGAGTCCGGATGTGGTTGATCTTTTGGAAAGAACTTCAGAGCACATACTGGAGCAGGGAGCTGGCGATTGGACACTTTTGGATCCCAACAGCGATCTTTTTACAGAGTGGCAATCCCATGAGTCAGCAAACGCAGATGTTGTTTTAGCTCTCTGTTCACACCGTGCCAAGAGGATGAAGAAACCTCAACCACATGCAGGTCCAGCAGATGTTCCAGTGCGTCGCTCATACCTTTTGTTGGCAGGTGGAGAAGACGGCAAGCAAGGTCTGAGCACAGACTGGGAGGATTGGGCACAGATGGCACCCTCGTCACAACAGCGTCCACTTGTTGGTACACACCGTGTTTTCTACATGGTTTTGTATGGCAAGCCCGCAGGTGAAGCTGATGATCAGAAAGGTGACAAGTTTTTGCAACAAGAGCTGAGCGAGAACGGAAGTGGCAAGTTTTGCCGCGAGAGCTGAAGCTAGCATTGAGACGTGTTCACATCAATTTGGGCCATGCAAGTCCCCAAGCTATGATGAAGGCATTGCGCATTTCGCGTGCATCAACAATGGCTCTGAAAGCGCGCAGATTGTTTCGATGTGCAGATTGTCCACGCCTAAAGGTGCCAAAGCTCCCACGACCTAGCAAGCTACCTGTTGCAGATGAGTTCAACACACACGTTGGAGTTGACATTATTTCTGAGAAGGATAGCACTGGTCAGAGTTGGCAATGGCTCAACATCCTTTGTCAAGGTACAAGTTTTCAGGTTTGCATCCTCCTCGGCGACACCAACATGAATCCTACAGGGAAGGCAGTTCTTGCAGCCTTCCACCAAGGCTGGACGTCTTGGGCAGGTTTTCCGGAAGTTGGAGTGATAGCTGACAGAGCAAAATACTTTTTGTCTAGCTTCGCTGAGGACATGGCCGACCACGGTTGCAGATTTGATACAGCAGCAAAAGCATCACCTTGGCAGATAGGGATGATTGAGCGGCATGGTGGTTTGTGGAAAGAAACTTTCAGACGCACAGCCTGGAGTCAACAAGTTGCTGGGAAGGATGAGGTTTTAGCAACAACTTCAGCAACCAATGCCGCTAAGAACAGTCTCTGCAGAAAAGGAGGTTTCAGCCCAAACCAATGGGTGCTGGGGAAGGACATCAGACTTCCCGCTTCGCTCGTCGATGATGATGAGGTCAACAGGATTGGTTCTCTTGCTTTAGCAAGCACTCCTGGCACCAAGTTCCATCGCAAGCATCAACTTCGCATGGCCGCGAGGCAAGCTTGCACAGCAGCTGCAAACTCAGAAGCCCTGAGGAGAGCCGAACTTCGACAGGTTCGACCACATCGCGGACCCTGGCTTCCGGGCATGTACTGTTTTTACTATGATGGTGCAAACAAAGATCCTGGTCCTAGCAATTGGAGAGGTGTGGCTCGCGTCATTGGTTCAGAGGGCAGTCATACAATTTGGATTTCACACAGAGGCTTGTTGTTGGCCGTGAGTCCTGAGCACTTAGCCCGAGCTTTTGACCAAGAGGTTCGACAATGGGCAATCGTTGATCAGGAACGTGAGTTGATTGACGCAATGCCAGCAGCTGGTGGAACAGGGTTCATTGACCTTCGGAAAACTCCATTACCACCTGCACTCACCGAAGGCGCAATAGCAGATGCGCCAGAAAGTCAGCAGGAGGATGACGATATGGGCATTCCGATTGAAGGTCTTGAGCAGCCGCCACAAAGAGTTGAAGAACCTTCCAGTGAGGAGCAAGCAGCACCTGCGCCAGTGGATAATGTTTCTTCGGAAGACCTCAGTGCAAGCTCTACATCCATGGCCCGGATGAAGCTGGAATCTGACAGAGATCAGAGAAGAATGTTGAAGAGCAGCGAGTTCTTCGACAAACGAGCTCGTGAGAGAAGGGAAGCTCGTGAAAGACGACAATCCGATTTCGAAGAAGCTGAACGACTTCGTGAACAGCAGAGACAAGCAGAGGCAACACCTATAGAAGAAGATGTTTTTGATGAGGAACTTCACGACTACCACCAGAGTCGACCGACCCGACAGTTGACACCAGTCGTGGAGGACCCAGCTGCAGAGGCGAATGAAAGAGAAGCTAAACGCTTGAGAGTGTCTGAGGATAGTCCTGAGACCGCCAATTTCGTCGATGCAGCAGACAAAATTCCTTTTGCTTTCATGGCCACCGAACAAGAAGGTTTTCTTGAGGAGACGGCATATGCCTACTACATGGACAGGCAGCTGGCCTATGAAGGCCTTGGTGTTAGTTTGGACACTTTCATTTTTGGCATGCGGCGCAACGACTTCTACGAGCGCTACAAGTCCATGCAGGAGCACGCCATGCAGGGCACAGCTCTGAGTGCCCCAGACACCAAGAAGAAAGGAAGAAAAGAAGTGAAACTTCATGAGTTGAAGCCCGAGCTTCGTCGAGAGTTCACCAAAGAAGGAGGCTCAGATCAACGAGAGTGGGATGCTTGGAAATCCAAAGAAGCCTGCGATGTTTTGAGCCCAGATGAGAGTCGAAAGATTCAGCAAAACAGCCCAGAGCTCATCATTTCCACAAGATGGGTTCGCACAAACAAGAATGATGGTTTGCAAAACAAAGAGTTTTTAGCAAAGAGCAGACTTGTTGTACAAGGGTTCAAAGACCGGTCCCTTGGACATTTCAGGCGGGATGCACCAACAGCTTCAGCAATTGCCGAGTCGATTGTTTTGGCAATTTGTGCCTACCTCGGCCTGACCTTGTTCGCCAAAGACATCAAGAACGCCTATTTTTCTGGACGCAGTTTGGAAAGAGAGGTTTACTTGTCCCAACCTCGTGGAGGCTTGCCCGGCCTTCAAGAAGGCCAACTCCTGAGAGCTCGAAAAGCCATTTACGGTTTTGCAGAAGCTGCGCGAATGTTTTGGCTTGCTTTGAGGGAGTACCTCATTTCAGATGGCTGGCAGGAAAGTCGTTTGGAGCCCGCTTTGTTTTATTTGAGGCAAGGCAACAAGCTTCGTGGAATCCTGGTCAGTCACGTAGATGATCTTGAGGGAGGCATACAGCCTGATATGTTGGAGACAGCTTTCTCAAAGTCCTCACAAGCACTTGAATTTGCTACCAACCACTACAGAGACTTCATTTTCCGTGGCAGGGAGATTCACCAGACTCCAGAAGGACATGTTGATGTCAGCATGAAGAACTACGCTTTGAGCATGAAGCCGGTCCGCATCGAAAAGCACCGTCGGCAGCAGCTTGATTCAGAGCTGACAAAAGAAGAACTCGACCTCCTACAGAGTTCAGCTGGCGAGCTCGGGTGGATCACCCGGCAGTTGAGGTGCGACCTGGCCTTCGAGAACGGCGTGATTCAAAGATGCAAGACAGAAGCTTGCATAGCTGACCTTGTTCGCTTGAAGCAATATGTTGGACAAGCTCGACGAGGCGCCAACTTTAGACTTCGATACTGGAGCGATGTGAACTTGAGTGAAGCCGTGGTTGTGCATTTAGCCGATTCTGGTTTTGCAAATGGCAGCCCTGAGCACAATGGCCTTCTTCGCTACCGCTCGGTGGGAGGCTACTTCATTCTCCTTGCCAACAAGGAGATACTTCAGGGACAACCTGCAAGATGCAACATGATTTGTTTTCAGAGCAGCCAAACCAAAAGAGTGTGTCGCAGCACGTTAGCAGCTGAAGCCAGTCACCTAGCAGAAGCGGTTGAAGCTGGAGATTGGGTAACAGTTGTTTTGGAGGAGGCTCTGACCGGAGATGTTGATCTCCGGAATTGGCAAAGTGTGATAGAAAGAAGGGAAAGGGTCTATGTGACCGATGCAAAGTCGGTTTACGACTATCTGCATAAGGACGCCACAAGCACCAGCACTGACAAGAGGATGGCAATAGAAGGTGCACTCCTAAGGGAGACCGTGAGAAAGCCCAAAGCAGATGTCAGATGGATCGATGGAATGCAAAACATAGCAAATGTTTTGACCAAGCACAATGCCGAGAAGGACACCCTTCGAGAGTTTCTGAGGACAGGCCAAATGTCGCTGACGCAGACAGAGGCCAACCAAAAGTTGAAAGAGAAAAGACGCCAAGAGCGCCAGAGCAGAAGTGAAAAGAAAAGAAGTTTCAAAGAAACCAACAAAGAAGCTGATTTGAAGCAGAAAAGGACTGCAAAGGCCGAAGCCATTCGACCTGGAGAGGCCGATACAAGTGAAGAAGATGATGCACAGCCAAAAGAAAAATAATCAGTGTGAAAGTTCTGATGATGCATGGCATTCAGTTGGCTGTGCATGGATGATCGCCGGATCAAGCCGGCCCGAAAGCCAATGACCTGACTAAGGTCCAGAGCAGTCCGGCCCGCCAAAGGAAGATACACAAGCAAAGCATAACAGAACAGAACATGTTCGACACAAGACACCACATGGCTTGCAGAGGCCATAAAGCACATGTTTCACGACATATACCTTTTTCGTGTTCGCATTTTGAAGAAAAGGCTGCGTCGCTGCGCTCACTAGCTTTCAGACCTGGTTTCAGCATGTTTATGCTTGGTGTAGACGGAAATCCATTGGTTTCGGCAAGCCTGTATCGGCAACTGTATTCTGAATCCAGTCCCCGAGGTGTGGCAAGGTGTTCGCACCGGGGCTCGCGAAATGCAGCGAAGAGTTTCTGCAGAGGCATGTGATGTACAATGCAGACTCTTGGTTTCAACTGTGACTGCACAAGAAGCTTTGAGGCCGTGAAGGCCCGAAGTGGGACACTTTGTCAGGTGTCCAAGCAGGTCGAACTAATGTTGGCAATTTTCAACAAGAGGTAAGTAATTAAGGGACCGGTCATGACGGGGCGGGTAGTGCACCTCATCCACCTTGCACTCCAAATACACAGAAACATGTTCTTTGCTACACATGCGGTCCGTTATCTACTTTGTTCTTAATCAATGCAATCGTTAGTTCTCTCTTGTTGTCCGTGTGTATCAGAGCAATTCTTTGCTGATGTTCCATGATTCTCCAAGGTCATTCTTTTATGACAGGTTTGGTGTTGTAGTTGTGTCAAAACTATGTATTGCTTTTGTCAGTGCCAAGGCCGCCAAGGCGTTCGACATGTCCAGTCCGTCCACCCGACTCCACTTGCATGAATTTCGTTCGACAAGACAAAGTCCTGCTGTTTAGCTGTCTAAAAAAAGAAGACATCCAGCCCACTGCGGTGTCCGAGTAGCCAATGGCCAATAGTATATTAGTCATTCTGTTTAGGTCTTCCGAAGTTTGTCGTGTAGCAACTAGAAACGGATAGGTCTCCGCAGATTGATGTCTCGGATCTTGACTGAAACCGGTCCAGCTCATCATAATGCTTCTTGATTTGTCTCATGGAGAGTGGGCAATCCACCATCACTTGCCAAAGCTTTGTTTGGAGGCCCTATGTGTTTCAAGCAAACTGTTCAGGAATGCTTCTTGGCGAGCTTGGAACGCAACCGGCAACAACATTGGAAGGAAGGGAGATGTGGAGCATTTCAGGCTGGGTGAAATCTGTCCCTACGGAGCATGAAAGTGACCAGCATTTTAAAATTAAACTATTTAAACTTATCAATTGAATCCATTGACGTTCTTTTGGCGTATCTGTATTCACACTCCAATAATCTTCAAGTCAAACAGGGTAATCGCATGTAATCACATATCTTCAGCATTCTTCATCCAGCCCAATGGTTTCGACGTGCCGTCATCGACCGGCGATGAAGGCCACGGCCGTCATCGACCTTGAAGGGATCGACATGAGCATCGCGGATCGACGCCTACTGACCCTGAGCAAGGTGATTGGTCGCATTGAAGCTGACAACTACCCGGAGGTGCTGAAGAAGCCTTGGCTGAATGGTCGTCCGTGAAAACACGCACCAACAAAAATCAAAAAAAAGATCCAAGATCCACTAGCTTATAAAGTATTATGCTGCAACATGATTAAGTTATTGGCTGAAGGAGTCACACAAGTTGCATGTGGGCATGGGTCAAACAAGGTCCAGATTGACAAACAGCGGTAAGAGATGTCAGTCAGACTTGTCCTGTAGCATTTGGACTTTCGTAGGCTACATGTGTTTGACCCACAGCTATGGGCGAAACGTCGCGACTCCAAAACATCGCATGAGCGACCTGGAGAGATATCGCAGGAGCGACCTCGTTCGAAGGAAACAGGAGGTTCCTAGTAGCGTCCTTGTTCCTAGTAGCGATGCCCTTTGCTACTAGTAGCGTCCTGATGTAGTAGCAGGAGTGCATTGTTTTGGAAGGGGAAGAGGCTTCGGACCTGACGCGGTTGCAATGCTAATGAATTCCTATTTGGTGGGATCGAAGAGCACTCGTGAGTGTAAGCAGCCAGGCATGTTTGTGAACACCAAGGGAGCTTTGCAAGGTTCCTGAGCTTTGCAACTTTCCCACCCTGAACTGTTTCTAAAGACATAGCTTAAGGGCATATAGCACGTTTTATTTGAGGTTCCGAGATACCTCCAATCTACTCAACAATTCCAACATCGAACTCCTTTGTGCCTCGATCATCGACGATCAATCCATCAGATCAACACCACACTCGTCCTGAGGAGGGTCATCGTGGTCCGGGCGCCATGGTTTTTCCCAGCAATCTTCCAGATGATCAAGCCCTTCATGGATCCGGGCACCGTCGCCAAGATCCTCATGCCCAAGCAGAGCGAGACCCGAGAGGTCCTGTTGCGGCACCTGCCAGCCAGATGCATCCCCGAGGCGGCATGGGGTGAGCGCGTTCTGTGTGTTTGAGTGAGCAGGAAAATGTTGTCATGACATCTCTGCCAGCGAGAGTGCCAGCTTTAATACCAAAGGTTGAAGTCTTTGGGCTGAAAGAACTGTTCAAAGACACTCTTTTCACTTGTCCGGTGACACGATGGTTGCCTTCCACATGGCAAAACTGGTCGTTTTGCCTGCGCCGCCCTCGCAGGAGCTCGGTGGCTCGTTTCCTATGGACCGTCTACCTCCGGGAGGTGATGTACCTCAGGACCTCGTGGATAAAACTTTCCGGTGAGCCCGAGCCGAGTCATCGCCATGTGGCATCCTTGGAAGGGAGGGAAGGGGTCCACCCAATAGGGAGTCGGGGTGCTTTTTCTTGGTTCAAACATGTCAGATGAGCTGGACATTGTTCTTAATGGTGACCCGAGAAGTAGTTCACTTCTCAAGTAGGGCGAAATTCGATGGTTTCACGCCTGTACCAAGGGACACAGGGATTTGTGATGGTGGAATTGGCCCAGTTTGAGGTGTCGGTCTTGGTGGTGAACGCTTTTCTTGATGCGTTATAGAAACGTCCAACAAGTGCAGACGATTCCACGATCCAAAGAAGCAGTCAGGCCGCTTTTCCGAATGCCAAAGGAGCTTGTTGCCATCAAAGCAACAAGCTGCCCTTCCTGGCAGTGCCCAAAGACTGGTTTTTTCTGCGCATTAAAGGCATGCATGCAGGAGCTCAGATAAAACATATCTAAGTTGCTGAAACGAACAACACCACGAGTTGGTTGACCAGAGAGAGCACCTGAGCTGGCATGCATCTCGATAGCTAGACGACGTGAGACTCGGAAGGCTCAATTTGTTGAGCTGGCCTCCCCAAAAGGAAAGAGGCACATCCGAGGCTTGCTCCTGAGGAGGGCACAGAGATGCTCAAAGAGAAACACGCTTGGAAAATGCAAACTGGCATCAAACTTGTGCAACATGTTTTGAAAGAGGTTTTGTGGATAAGCGCATGAGCAAGGGGATGCTGAATTCCCGGCAGCACAAGGCCTATTAACAGCATCCCTTTCACACCCTTCACAATATGCTGCGGTTTTTGAATGATGGGCACGTTCCCTGTTGGAATCGGATATCCAAGATGCTTTCAAAGCACAAAAGTATCCGGAAATAGACCTCCGACCCTGTAGAGTTACTGTAATTAAGTTGTTAATGATGTTTAATGTGTTGTCGTTCTGACTTTCTTCTATTTTTTAGCGATGGCCTTCAACCTATAGCGATGGCCTTCAACCTATTAGCGATAGCCTCCAACCTATTAGCGATGGCCTCCAACTTAATAGTGATGGCCTCCAACCGAACAGCGATGGCCTCCGACCTAATAGCAATGGCCTCCAACCTAAGAGCGACGGCCTCCAACCTAAGAGCACAAATGTGGCATAGCCTCGATGACTGGAGGTGAGCTTCACTGTGGGTCGAGGCAGCATTGCTGGACGTCCCGCCAGAGACAAGGTGAGGCCGACAACTGATGGCACTAGCATTCGGACCAGCGCCACTACCACCAGAGCCACTGAATGCCGGAAGTCGAGTGGATTCCATTCAGAACTCCTTACTTGTGGGTACAGACCATTCTGTCCCTTACCAAAATAAGCCAAGCACCACTGGCTTCCTCTTTGGTGCTAATCTGAATGGTTCCCATTTTCAAGGCCCCTGGGATTTTGTGAATTTTGTGACAGGTGTGCTTGCAGCCACAAGAAGTTTGTGCTGACACCAGTTTCATTTCAGCGGCAGAGATGTGTCTTGGCATTTCAATCATGGACTTTGATGTCATTTCTACACCAATTTCTTTCGAAGCATAAATGTAATTCTACACGTCTTAAACAAAAAACACTTACTATCTGAAGTAGACCGGCTTTTGAAGAACACGTTTTCTCGGCGGTTCGACGTAACATCCTCAGTTCGACCGACCAACCGACGTTCGACGTTGCTCAGATCCACCGACCTAAGAAGGTCCAGCCCGACCGATCGGCTTAGCGGCGAAGACGTGAACGATGGTCTTCGATGGTTTGCACATGGCACGGCATCCTATCTAAACATATCTAAACCATGGTCTTCGCGTTTGTGAGTGTTGATACAGATGTTCGATACAAGTTGGGGTGGCTGATGAATTTGTGATTCAACATTTGATATGCCAAGATCTAGGGCTTAGACTAGATCACGGGAGTGACGAAGAAGGTGTCGTTCACACCTTTCCCAACTGACGTGTTGAACAAATCCAGTGGGCCCTTTGCTGGGATTACTGTAGGACCTATAGGAACTCGTAAAGCAAGGGTACTCTTGAACTATCTTGAACTCTTCAATTTGGGTTTGCACTGTTTCTGGAAGCAAGGAAGGTCCAGCTGAAAAAGTGGAGTCGTGCCTCATTCAGCATTTTCCTTCCGGTATGTGTATAATTGATCATATCATATCAACGACTGGCAGGGGTTTGAAGAAGGACAAGCTCCAAGACTGCACGCATGTCCTCATGATTCCTGAAATCCCTGCATCTTGATATTTCCTGCCTTTTGATGACAATGACACCTCCATCTTCAGGTCCCATGTAACATGCAGAATTTCTCCGCCAAGGACTGGATCTAGCTTTGAAGATGGGGAAACCCTCAGTTCAACCAATGGGTTTTGTGTTATCACAGCAGTCTGGTGGGCCATTTCTTTCAACCCCCATCCATCCCAAACAAATCCAAGTGGGTTTTGCTTTCGGTTCGGACTGAGGTCTGACGTACCGTTTAGCTTGGCCTTGGCCTTAGAAGTCTGGAGGAGTTTGTTGTTTGAGCTCGCATGTTCACTCCCCTGCAGAGGATTAGCATGGAACCCCAAAATCACTTTATTGTATAGAGGAAAATGGTGACGGTTAGGTCTAAACATTTGTTAAATTTAGCTGGCTTTGCTTTGGTTGCTTGGCGTAGCTTTGGAGGAGATTTCGCTCGCGGGATGAAGCGAGTTGGACGGATAAACGTTTCATCCCGCAAAACGCTGGTTTGTTCTCGACGGTTTGGCCTTAGCGGTGGTTCGGTTTGGCCTTCGTGCCATGTCGCGATCGAAGCCCTTCCTGCCAGTACCCATTCGATGGCATTGTTGGGCTTGGCATGCCTGCACTCTCGCGGAGCAAGGAGCGAAGTAAGTCGGTTCGGTGTTCTCCTTGGAAGTAGGTTTAAGAATGCAACGAGCCAAAGAGCTATTTGTCCTGAATAAGCCTGTAGGCTATAGGGAGCCGTTGGTCTTACGCAACTAGAGTGCCAAGGTGGTGTCGATATGCGCTACTCGTGTGCATGTAACTTTAGACCTGTTTTTATCCTTTGCTCGGCACCATCGACATGACATGACACCGATGCTTCTACTCTTTGGCTGATGGTAGCACCTGTTCAAAACCCGTGCATCATTCTCAGCACATGCATACCTAGTTTTCAGACAGAATTATCCGCCCATTGGTTCAGGAATGTTATATTCATGCGTCCGGCATCGTACAGAATCCTACATATTTGCACAGCAATCCGCTTGGCTTACCATAGTGCTACATCATTAGCGCGGTCGTTTAAAACAGAACCCATCATGATGCAGCCGTGATGATCGAACCCTGTTCTGCTGAAAGAATGCTGATCTACAATGTGCGCATCATTTCCTGATACTGATACACGGCCAGTAGCACATGCACACACACACACACTCGCCACGTTTTGAATCTGACACGGGCATATCATGTGGCTCATGCACATGTGTCGCAGGCATCCTATTGAAGGATGGAATCCTCAACCATATACTCCAGTTGAATCCTAGCTTCCATGATTCAAATGCAGGACTACAACTTCCTGGGCAATATTGCAGAGGTGAGAGGGCCGCTCTCCGTGAGAAGGTCGCAAACCCAACTTCTATGTTTTCTGTGAAGGTCGCCAGTAGTTTGAAGGCTTGAGATGGCTTGAGGCAGTGTCGCGATGTGATGAACCTTTAAGCCCCCAAAAAGGCCCTGCCATGCCCTGGCCCCCCAAAAGGTCTACCAACCAACCAAGTCTCTCCCACCGAACGACCGGCAGCATCCCTACGGAGCCGTTGCTCCGTGGGTCAAGCTGCTTGCCTCAGGCGCGGCAGCTACAGAAAGATCGCTTTGCGGTGTGGTTGTCGAAGCAGGCACAGCTGAACTTTGGCAGTGATCGACTTGGTGCAAGGAGTAATTGAACTATTTGACAGCTGATAGCTCAAATCTTTATCTTACATTGAAGAAGTTGACTAGGCTACATACTTAGTTGCTGTTTTACTCCAGTTTATCTAGCAATGTTCAGCTGCAACTATGAAGCAGCTGATTGTGGGACTGCTGAAGAGACAAGAAGTGTGAAGGAACCAATTTCCTCATGAGATGTAAGCAAGACCCAAGACATCCTATGACGAGTTTTGGAGGGGACCGCCATTGACTTTGTAAAACTCTGCAATCACTGTGCGTAGCGATAGGGAACCCGGAAGAGCGATACCGATACCTGTTCCAGGAATATGCTCAGTCCCAATCAATGATACTTTAACAGGATTTTAACATACATATTTGTTTTTGATGAAAACAAACATTGTTTAGAGCGATACCCAAACCGGTACCACGCGTTACCTGGAGCGATACCTCAGAAGTCCAGTCCTAGCCACTTCTCCAGGTGTAGAGCCACAACTTACTAACGCTACTAGCGTTTCCTCATGCCCCGCAGCAAAGAGCTTGCCGAAGGCCTTTGCAGATGGTTGAAACCATGGCTTTCATATGGCTTTCATGTGGGAGCTTCTGAGAGGAACCAAAAAGAATCCTCCGGGTTGAGAGAGATTGTAGGATTCTTTGTCAAATTTTGTCGTTCTCCCTCCAAGTATGTTTGCAGTATTTGCAATTGTGGGGGGTGCAAAAGGAGTTCCACCATAGTTGGTCAAGGCCAAACTCGTCAAATGCAGACTTCACGGACTTCAAGAATGCTCATTCATGTCCTGTTCAAAACCGGGCTCGTGCTCAATTTTCTGACTCACTTCAAGCCTTTGTCATTTTGTTTAAACATTTGTCACATTGAGAGAAATTGAAAGGACATTGTGACATTGCAACAAGCCAACACATGCAACGGTGTTCATTCACCATGGACCCTGGTATATGCCTACATTATGGACCCCTTTTCAACCAGCCCGTATGGAAATTCAGCCTTGTCGGGGCCGCCAGGTCGATCAGGAGGATGCAGAGATTTCCTTTGGCGAGATTCCCATGAACCGCCTGAGCTCTGACATCGTGTGGTTTCCACTCTCCTCCACGGTGTCAGGTCTGTGGCAGGCGTGGGCGTCTGGAGGTTTGGAAGGCAGTCCTCACTGGATGCCTTGCTCGACAGATGGTCTGCGTTTTGTAGACATATTCCCGACACTATAACTATAGCCCTGTGAAAGATACACTGATGTTTCACCTCCCCCAAAGAATACTAATATCAACCAAACCATGTCATACCATATCCTTTTGGAAGCAGAGAGGTGAAAACAAAGGAACAGCGTCGCAGAAATCCTTCTCACGAGGTCTCCTTGAAGGATCTCACGGTGAATTTGGTTCGCCAAGGGCTTTGCAGCTCGGCATGACATTTGGTCACATACACATCCGTGATCGCATGCGGCCACATGGGGCGGAAGGAAGAGACCAAGATAGAACATTTACTCAAGGAATTCTCCTTGCTGGTGGCTCGACAGAGCTCAGGTAAGCCCGTTCAAACAAAACTGAGTTTTCCTGTCAAAAAGCGCGCAGTCCTTGTCCCTTGGCACTTTTCAGACTGCCCAACCGCAGACCAAGTAGATTAGATAGGATATATTTGATTGTTATTGCTTCAAGAGCTGGTTGTGCTCTTGGAATCAGATATAGTTATATAAGTTATGTATATTTATAATGTTTGGGCCTGGCATGGCCCTTCAATCAACTTTGGCAGTGCTTCCCAAGTCATTCAAGGACGCCTGGAATCCAGATTGCTTTCCAGCCAAGCTTTTCTTCATGCCAGTGAGCAGATCTCAGGCAAGAAGCAGGCTTGCCATGTCGCCTTCGATACCGGTACTGGTGTCATTGCTGGCCCCAAGCACATCATTGACGTCCTCAAGCAGGAGGGGCCGACGAAAGAGGAGTTGCAGTGACAAGCGGTCAGCTGTGCTTACTTGCGGCTTATGCTTCCAAGTGCTTGGAACTTTCTTTAATGCATTCTTGGAAACAAAATCTAACGAGCTACACGATTGGTTCTCATTCTTGGCCAGGATTTTTATCCAACATATCCAAGGTGGGTGGATATGTTAGATATTGGAGGTTGAAACTATATCTATATTGCAATTGCCAATTCCTGTAGGCAAACAACAAATGATTGTCACTCAAGCCAACGGGCCAGATATTGATCAACTCACAAACACAAAACGTGACACATTTTTTACCAGCCAGCTAAAAGCCGCCTGAATTCGTAAGTGACACATTCTGTTTCCGGAAACCAATTCTGCCAACATCTTCCAAAAGCCGCCTGAATTCGTAAGTAACACATTGTGTTTCCAGAGACCAATTTTGCCAACATCTTCCAAACTGAACCACTATTCACCATACTCACCGATACCAACAGTAATAGGATTTCATGGGCCACCATCTTTCCCGGGAATTGCACCAGGAGCTTAATGTGGCCACTGACTGCAGCAACTGGGACGAGCTGCCAGCCTTAGGTAGGAAGAAATCGTGATTGTTCTTGGTGTGCGTAGATTGTTGCCAAGATGGAATATTAAATTCTCAGGATTTCCTCAAGGTACGAAATGAGTTGTAAGATGTAAGATATAGCAGATTCTAAATAGAGACCATGCAAGGCAGCCGCGCGGAAATATTTACTCCATTCAAACCTGCACAATCCCATCTTTGGTTTTCGTTACCTGCACAACATGAATTGTCATGCTTCTTGTGCCTTGCATTGTCGTGAGCTCATGACATTTCGATGAAGATTCTATGTTAAGTGACATCACACTGACTTTCAAGATTCGAATGATTGTCCCTTTAAGAGGATGGGCATCAATCCTCGCGATCGAATCAGCAGCACATCGTAACTTTTCCAAGTTCGCCCGCCAGGCGTTGAGCTGGGGGATCGTGTCTTCAACATCGAAAAGTATGAGTATGTGCAGAAGAGCAGTGAGGGCTGCTTCGTGCAGCTGGTGGCCCTTGACACGGAACTTCCCACCATATATCTTGGGAAACTTGGCTTTGGCAGATTGGGTGTTCCCGATGTGGACAGCAATGGTTGAACATCGCCCTGGCTTGGGCACTTGCTGGTTTGGGCTGGTGATGCCATGAAATTCATGAAGGGATTCCTTCCAATCGAAGATTTGGGTTGAGGAAAGCTAGGCATTCTTTTTTGCTTGGGAACACATTCACACAGTTCTGCACAGGAGTTAGTGTGTAGGGATCCATGATTTAAGTTGAAGATTGTGATTTGCAGAGAGCAAGTTTGGTTGCAATCAATGTACTTCCACTTATACAATCAACACATTTCAATACATTTCATATTATCCACAAAGTGAGCCATATGTCCGTCCACCCGCAAGGACACACATCAAGCAAAGCATGCCATCATGCAGAAAGATAGCCGCCCCTCAAAGGACAAGATTTGTTCTCATCGCTGGGTCTTGTGGGTGTACCTGGAAGCACTGTTTCCTGCCGACAATTGGAACCGTGGGTATACTTGTTGGCCTTTTTGCTACTTGGGCTCATCGGATAGACTCGACATAGGACATCCCTCGATCCCTCTAATTCAGAAGGAGGGGCACTGAAATCATCCAACAGTTGGGAAACACAGGTCATTTTGGGAAAGACCGACGATCTCAGGACTCCTTTCTTGGAGCGTTATGTGACCATCTACGATCGTGTCTTCCTGCGAATGGGTTTGGCCTTTGCTCTCCATAAAGCTGAACCAACGGGAGAGAGCACACAGGATGCCGCCCAGCGGCTCATGGGAAGACAAGCCCTTGGAAAGCTGGAGTAGATGAACATCTTGAGAGGTCATAGGGTGGTCATCTCTGGAAGTTTAGACCATGAATGAAGGGTCTAACAAATACATCAACGTTTTCTTCAAGCTTTGTGTCAATGTTGATTAACCTTGGTCATGCTCAAACTGGCGCGCCAAGCTGCCATTAAATGCTGCCAATGATGGCCCGAACTGGGAAGCAAAAGAAGCGGACGTGGAGGTCAGGGTCAAGGTCTTGAGAGGGTCAGAAGGCTTGGCAGAGGAATGAGAAACAAAGCCATTTTGGGGAGATATAATGTGAGATGTACATGTTTTGGTGGCTCCCAAAACGGATATCAGGTGTCAGCGATCGTGCAAGTATGCAAACCGCATTTGTATCCTGTACACTTTGCTATGGAGATCTGTGGAATTCTATGGAGGTATTTACCGTGTTATAATATTCCCACCTGTCAGGTGAGGGTTGCTAGATTTTATGTCAGTTGCCTCGCATTTGGTCCTCCTCCTTCTCCTCAACTGCACGTGTCGGATGGCAGTGTTCGCCGCCGGACCTCAAAAGCCAGTGTAGGACGGCATTCTTCCCCGCCGGGCCTCAACCGCCAGCTCCGGACGGCAGTGTTCCCCGCCGGACCTCAACCACCAGCTCCGGACGGCAGTGTTCCCCACCGGACCTCCACCGCCAGCTCCGGACTGCAGTGTTCCCCGCCGGACCTCAACTGCCTGTTCCGGACGGCAGTGTGCCCCGCCGGACCTCAACCACGAGTCAGAAGATCTGCCAGAAAGATGTCAGAAAAAAGGTCAGAAGATATGCCAGATAGAATGTCAGAAGATGTGCCAGAAAGAGTGTCAGAAGATATGCCAGAAAGAGTGTCAGAAATGCAAGAAAGAATGTCAGACGATATGCCAGAACAAAAGCAGTAATTATGCTTCAAACCGAAGAACTTGTCAGATTGAAATGTCATGGTGGGGATCACTCGAGGTGAAGTATTTTTTTGGTTTACCTAAGCGGGATATACGGGTCGAGGAACTGCTACCAGGAAAGGGATATGAAGTGCCTTTCCGAACTTTCTGCTTGCTAAAGAGGTCTATTCATTCTGAATGCTTGGACTTATTCATCCGCTTGCACCTTTGTATGTCCTAGAATTGGCCCAAATTGCTGGAAGTGCGCTGCACTATCATTTAGTGCAATCAAATCAAAGGAACGATGCAGGGCAGCCACCGCTGGTGCAGAAAGTTTTCGGATCGATCACTCAGAAAAACAAAACGTAATCCACCTTGGGGCCATGCAAATCTGCCTTGCGAACATTGTTTTTGTCTACTCGCTTGTTTGAAGCCATGCCGTTCGCAGAGGAAGGGAAGAAGGTGAACATTCAGCGGACGCGCCTTGATCTGGGGGTTTACATCAAACAGGGACATGTTCAATCGCCTGCTATTACTTTCCCGAATTCTATGAACTGTTTGGTCATGTCCTGTCATCCGAGGTACTCCGACCCCGACCTCCCTCAGCTCTTGCCTTTGCCGGCACGGCCCTCCTCCTCCTATGAACCGAGACCCAAGGCGGGCGATGCCTGCTGACCGATTGAGATTTTGATTTCGGGACATGATTGGACTCCGGTTGAGACCTGTGCTGTTTAGGAAGTAAAATTCACCCCACGTCCGTTGATTTGCACGAGTCCAAGTGCCAAGAATCAGACAATTAACATCTCTTCAACTTTGCGCCATGCCTCTGGTAGGTCGTCACTCGCAGGTGTTTTTTGTCACCCAACTCTTTGGGGACCCGCCGCGCGGTCCCCCTTTCCAGGTGAAGGAGGCAGCCCAGTTCACGGATGACGTGATGCAGGCCATGGCCGAGAAGCTGGGCATCAACGTCATGGCACCTCGGCCGCCTTGTTCGGGCAGCCCTTTTCAGGAATCAGTGAATGAGCAGTAGTACCAGCGGTAGAAAGTGGATGTAGATGTAGAGGAAGAAGACGGAAGATGTGTTTTTGGTGACTATATCATACTATATCTATATTTGTCTGAAACAGGTGACAAACAGTACGAATACAGTGCTTTGTGATGTTTTGTGATGCTTTAGGTGGTTCTATCTACATTAATTCATTGGTTTATGTGGAGGATGTTCATGATTCCGCTAGACATCGCTAGACAATATTTGCAAGACACAAGTAGGAGCTACTCTTCCATTCTTGAGGGGATTCCTGTACTTGCATGCATATTCATGACTAGAATAAATTGGACGGTGGCTACTTCGGTGGATATATCCTGATCTCCCACCTACTGCCCATCCGTGAACAATTCACCTGTTTAGTCTCATCGAGGCAAACTTTCCCGCTTCCGAACGGACTCTTCACCACCAAACGGGAGCTTTGCGCTGGGCGGTGGTTTTCATGAGGAGTTTACACTCCGACTCACTAACATGGAAGTGGAAAACCCTGTTTGTAAAGGAAAGTAGTCTTCCAAGGGACCATTTTCCACTTCCATGTTAGCGAGTCAGAGTTTAGATTGTTGAACGTTGTCGCGCGACTGAGACCCAGCCGGAATTCAACTGGGTGATCCGCGATTGCTTGCTCTCATTGCGGGATGAAGGTTGGACGTGTCAGGCCCGCCATGAAAGAAGCTGTGTGCCGTGGATCTTGAGAGCGGTCCTACAATTTGTTATGAAGAGGAAGTGAGTAGTCACTAGTGTCACTATATGTCACTAGGCTTGGTTAGAGCCGTGACTCCAATCGCTTGTGCCAGCTGCAAGGTCTAGTGTGGAGTCGGCATGGGGTGTGATGTCATCACACAGCTACAAACAATATAGTGTGTTTTCTGCATGTTTGGGTGATGTTTGTTGTTAGTTGTTGTGCATCATTTTGCAGTTTGTTGAAGGTGCGAAATGGCGACCTGGAGTACTGTTACAAGTACAAGGATGAGACGCGGCCGTCGCTTGGACTAGATTGCCCTTTTAGGAGGAGGTCATCTCGAAATCATTGACACTCCGAGAGGACCAGTCACTCAGACGTGGTTCGGTTTACAGAATCATCATCGAATCAAAGCCTCCGTTATGTAGGTGGTTTGGGATTCAGATGATTCAGATCAAGGAGTGGCTTTGGACTCTCCATTCACGTTCCCCCCAAAAAGGCACCACGGTTTTGAAGGAGGCCTAGAAAAACTCGCACCTGTGCTCAGACAACAGGACCCGGTCGATCATGAGAAATCGCCGCTCTCATGGCCAGGTATCATCCCATCGCAGAGGCGCACCGCAAGCTCGCAGAAAGACTCATGGCTTCTCAACAAGCAGAGGCCTCAGGCAGCTGTAACGGTTACAGCATGCATAGGCCTCAGGCAGCACATGACCAATAGATCTGAAAACAATCTACAACACAACTATCCCTGTTTTCCTTTTGCAGTGAACCAGTGTTCTTGTGTTTCTTCTTCTCCATGCGACTAGGGTTTTGACTCTGACTGGGCGTCGCTCGCCTAGGGCCTGCAGATGGCCCACCTGGATCCACATTAGACACAGCCTCAGACGACGTGGAGACACCTCAACCGCATCCTTTTCGAGGTTTCATGAGATCAGTCTATCCTGGATTCCAGGACTCTTTAAAAAACACACACACACACACTGGGTGCCTGAAGGCTTTCCTTGGATTGTCTCAGAGACATGTTGGAGATTTTGAGGTGTCACTCAAAATGAAATCAGTCTCAATTGTAGCCACAAATCAAGAGAAAGGAGTTGAATCTCAAAGCTGGGTATTCTAAGATAGAGTGAGATGAGATTGTGGCAGAGTGTCAAAGCAAAAGAATAGCAGCGGATATCAAGCCAAAAGTCTCTCAAACTCAGCATCTCTGGCTGAGTCGTGTTCGACACCACGTCTACCGGTCGATCATGGGAGAGAAGGAGAGATAGTTCCGGAACCTTTCCAGCCAAAACTTCGTGTCATGAGCACATGATTCTCAAAGCGTGGTGCAGAGTTGAAACAGTGTCACAGAAAAGAGGATTGCTTCATCATGGCCATCGCATGATAATTGGACCATTTTTACTTGAATATTCTGGATGTGCTCGATGATGCGCTCCATGATGTGCTCCATGACCCAGACTCACCGGTCACCGGGATGTCTTAGGTCTCAGATGCTGTGCAAGTCATGGCTTGGTGCGGACGAAAGCGTACGCGGACGCGTGCACTCGCGCTGACTGCAGGATGTTCGTCGAGTTTGCACTCCAAAGCTCATCGAGGAGTGGGAAGGATGTGAGATGTATTGGATATGTTATTCCCACCTGGTTCAAGACCTGCAACAAGAGCAAGATGTAGGAACTATATAGCAGGAACATGATCCTCTTTTGACATCAAATTTGATGGGTATATGATATACATTGATATATGTTGTATTAGATGTATTAGGTGGTATAGGTTTTTTCAGGGCGGACCGTGTACGAGAATCCTGTTCAACTGAAAGCGTTTTGACTTGTCAGGAAGTGATGAAGGACTTGGATGTCAGCCCTTCAGATGAGCCTTACCTCATTCGCAGGCGCAACTTTTGTCTTTTGCTTGGTCTTCAGATCTCAGACGTGTGCGAAGTTGCTCTTGGATTGTTTTGGAATGTTAGCGCTGCTATTTTAGATACTTTGTCATCAAATAATGAGTCCGAACTCATCTTCAGTGCGACTGCCAGTATTTGCAAAAGCCAGAAAATAACATAATATATATATAGTTGCAATTTTGCCGTGTTAGACTCACAATTATATTGTGGTTTTGCGCCGCAAGAATGTGTTTGGGTGTGTCATATGTTCATCTATGAAATGACGTGTTGCACTGCAGCAGAACTCACTTCGGTTGCGAGGATTAAAACATCGGTTGAGGACGCTTACTTCAGGTGCGCGTTCAGCTGTTGCTCAATTGGTCCGGACGCGGAGGAGAAGTTAAGCTAGATGAACGACCGAACAAACAGATGAGAATACACCTTCCGTTCTCGAATTTTTGTTTTGGAGTTGTGGGGGCAATCGGACGGTGGCAGTGAGAGGGGTTGATGTTGGTGATACGTTTCTTTACCCCGGGCCAGGTACAAGCGGACTGGAAAGTTTCAGACCACCATCGAGGCGCCCAGTGGATTTTACTTTGTGCACGTAGGCCATCGATAAGGCCTTGAATCAGGTGCATATGATATCGAGATTTGGTAGCTTCTTTGTGAGTTTGGCCCACACCAAAGAAACCTGGCGCTCCCTGTGCTGGATCGTTGAATACTTCTTTCCGCAGATTGACACTATGTATAAATGTATACTATACTTAGCAGACTCGGAGAGCTTTGCTACCCTCGCTCTTGGACCAGAATTTTGTCTCCGAAATGGCCTCGGGCGCCAGAACTGTATCGATGTGGAGTCTATGGTGGTCAACCTAGAGCTCGATCGAGTTGGCTTCATGAAGAAGATCTCACCCTCAGGCGCCCAAACGCGCAAACAAGCCAAGCCGGACTGCCCAGCGGGCCCCGGAAGCGGCAGAACGAAACGCCCGGAAAAGGCAGTGCCCAGCGGGGCCAGCGGCTCCAAGCGCTGATGACGGATGTGAGTTAGATGTCTTTGTGTCTCTTAAGAGCGATGGCTTCCAACCTAACATCCTAATAGCAATGGCCTCCAACCTGATAGCGATGGCCTGAAACCTAATAGCGATGGCCTACAACCGAATAGCGATGGCCTCCAACCTAATAGCGATGGCCTCCAACCTAAGAGCGATGGCATGAAACCTAAGAGCGATGGATTGAAACGTAATAGCGGTGGCCTCCAACCCAATAGCGTTATGAAAAATAAATAATCAATAACTGATGATCCTGAAAAAGATAATAAAAACAAAAAATAGACAAAAAACAAACAGCACCAAAAAACAATCACAAAATGTGTAAACACAACAGACAACAAACAAAAAACAAAAAACAAACAAACATAAAACAATATTAACACAAGCACCCAGAACACGTCTATTTGTTCTGTTTTTTTCTGTTCTAGCAAAAGCTGGCCTTGAAATCAGGTTTTCTGTAAAAACCCTAGGAAAAAACAAAAAATAAACAAAAAATAAACAAAAAAGAAACAAAAAAGAAACAAAAAATAAACAAACAATAAACAAAAAATAAACAAAAAAGAAACAAACAAGAAACAAAAAAGAAACAAAAACAACACAGCTCGAAATGGAGGGAAGGACGGTCTTTGACCGGGTTTTGTGTTTTTGTATTTTTTTTTTTTTTTTAATGATTTCCAGTCTTTGATGGGTCTTGATCATCATAACAATAGCGATGGCCTCCAACCTAATAGCGATGGCCTCCAACCAAATAGCGATGGCCTCAAACCTAAGAGCATGGCCTCCAACCGAATAGCGATGGCCTCCAACCTAAGAGCGATGGCCTCCAACCCAATCGCGATGGCCTCCTACCTAATAGCGATGGCCTCCAACCTATAGCGATGGCCTGCAACCTGATAGCGATGGCCCCAAACCTAATAGCGATGACCTCCAACCCAATAGCGATGGCCTCCAATCAAATAGCGATTGCCTCCAACCTAATAGCGATGGCTTTCAACCTAATAGTCATCGCCTCCAACCGAAGAGCGATGGCATCCAACCTAAGCGCGATGGCTTTCATCCTAAGAGCGATGGCTGTCAATCTAAGAGCAATTGCCTGCAACGTGTCTTGATTTGATGAACATATTGAACCTTTATTGTTTCACTCGGTCTCTCTCTCTCTCTCTGTCTCTCTACACGCACACATATACACACACTTGTGGCGCTTTGTTAAAAGGTTTATGCCTGTAGGTGTGTCTATCAAACGCCAAAGCCCACACGAGTCGGCAGAGCAAACAGCTCAAGCACATGCAGCAAAGCAGCAGTACAGAGAGCAGCTCATCTAGCAGTGCCGACGGCAGCTCTAGTCAGTTTAGGTACAACAGTATGCACTATATTTATTTTGCTGTGAAACGAACAAAGCCATACCATAAAACAAGTGTTCACCGTTAGTGTAAGTTATATGGAAAACATGAAGCGGAACGCAAGGATTTCTGAATTCGAGCAGTTTTCGGGAACAAGACTTTCGTCAACCAAACATTTGTCTATCAAGCTCATGGCTCAAACGCGAGCTCTGACAGAATGCTATGTTTTCATGTCGACATGTTTCAGCGGGGACATGAGTTTGCCTTGAACCGCCGCTTTGACTTCTTGCGGATAGCTGAATTTAAAGACCAAGTTAACTAGGCTACAATTTGTCACGCAAGATACCCAGTGTTTGCAGCGACACGGATTGAAGAATCCCCAGGGTTTGTTTAGATTCGTCATGTGTCCTGCGAACACTAATGAGCCTCATAGTCCGCTTGCAAGGAACTAAGTTGTGATAATGCCTGAACATGCTGACGCATTTGAATCTATAGTCTATTTTTGTTCCATATTCGCCGTTAATCATGTAACATGTACTGTTTATACTATTGCTGCTTTGCAATAAAGGGTGATCATTTTTACTTCGCTCAGAGCCTTCATCCTCGTTTGGACGTGCCTAGCAGGTTTGTTGTACTGCGTGGAGTGCCAGACTGCTTTGGGTGACGTCACCGCCTAATTGACAATGCTTTGATGGGCCAATGGGAGACCCAATGATGAAATTTTGGAAGCACTTTTAGCTGCTTGGGGAGATGAGTCGAATAAATCGTTGGTGCTGCTGCTTCTTTAGACACTCTTCTTGTTTGAGCCTGTGAGGTCATCTCTGCTGGTTGCCATGATGTTCTTTGCAACCAGTGTGCTGTGGAGACACACAGCACAGGCAACCGACAGGACCGCTGTGTTTGTGTCGATGCAATGAGACCAGTAAAAACATGCATCTGCCGCATTCTGAATTGCTTTGCCCAAAGGCTTCGATTTTATCAAACATACAAAACCTACTATATACAGTAGTAGTTTCTTGTTACTACAGGTGAAACGATTCCCAGTGAAAGGATTCCCAAGGAAGCTTCCAGTTACTAGTAGTTTCTTGTTCCTGTCAATTTCTAAAAATATGGGGTATTCTCGGAAATGTGTGGCAGCTTGCTGTGTCACCAGCTTTGAAGGATGCTCCCCTCGTCTTCATCGAGCAGGCCGTGTGTGCGGAATGCACCACCAAGGCTTGGCAGGGCGTTTTATCATCGGGGCGTTCGTTTCGTGACCGTGTCGGAACGGGGCTCAGAACACGGTTTTAGTTGCACTATTGTGTGGGCACTTGCTGCTTTTCATTGTTCTTATGCTTCTTTCTACGAAGATGTGCAGCGTCATAATTCCCTTTTTGCGTACAGCCAGAATGCGCTGAGTGCATAGATTCAACTTCAGACCGTTTTTCGTTCCTTGTAGAAGCCGTACCACACTGGTTTAGAGACAAAAACGTGATACCCAAAAGGATGCTACACCGCCTGCATACTTTCAACGGCAGACTATTAATGAGCTGTGCATGGTCCAGCCCATGCTTGGTATATGTATGTGTAATTAATTTGAGCAGTCTTGGCAATGACATGTTGCATAGCGCACAGTGAACTGTGCATTGGATCAAACATGATCAACCTATAGCAGATGTGCCCCAGAACACCTTTTAGAGCAATTTGGTTCCTCATTCTGCCAGGCGTTGGGTCTCAAGCTGGATGTTCGATCACAGCTCAGGTCATCCCTTTCACTGATGGGTCCCGGATCAATAAAAACCTTTGCCTTTTGTGCCCAAGAACTTCCGTTTTCCGCATTCTTGAGCAGCTCCCAGCATTCCAGGCAGCATTGGTCCGCTGTCAAGATTGTGTCGAGCTGTTTTGCTACGACTGCTTCAAGATGACGCACGCCGCAGGGACTGCCATGAGAAGCCAGCCGCTTGAGGAATTGGCATGCTATTTACACGAATCTAACAACCCCCGGTTGGCCAATCTTGCTCTTTAGACTCTGACAAGTCTCTAGACTCTAGTCTCTAGAGCAATTGTGGAAATTGCGGATAGAAGCACCGTGTAATTGCCTCTTCCCCGGTTCAGAGTACTCCCTCCGCCATCCTTTGCCATCCTCCGCAGGAAGCGAAGGAGGCATTGTGTGGGCCTCCCGCAGAGAACCTTTTGCTTTGAGTGCGACATGCGGGAGGTGTGGAGAGTACCGAGCTTCTCCGGGTGAAATCTGAAAAGAACAACAGCTGAGTCTCTCTTATATAACTATCATAACTATCTCTAAATATCTCCAAAATATGTTCACCCTTCAGGAGGATAGCGTTGATCATGCGTTTTTTTTAAGGTGAAAACCGGCCCAAAACCAGTTCTCGGGTCGCTGGTTTTCCCTCGTTTGGACCCGTTCGGTTCGGCCCTCGAGGCTCAATTTGGTAGGTTGAAACCAAACGGTCGAGGCACCGGTCGTTTTGGGAGGCGAAGGGGAGGTAAGCGTGTTACGTTCGTAGCTAGTAATGCCCTTGTTACTAGTAGCGATGCCCTGTTACTAGTAGCTTCTAGAGGCTCCCCATGCGAATGCAACGAATGCCATTCATCCGGTTTCAGCCGTCCAAAACACATCAAAACACGCTGCCGTATATGTGGCTCCTGCAGAAACGCTTTTCGCCGAAAAACATGAGGCAACAGGATTCAACATGACTCCTTCCTTCTTCGGACATGATTCATCCGCATTTGTTGTACTTCGCTGACTGAAGAGATCTGAAGAGTATGCCCCAAGTCCACTGATGCAGCAGCTCGCAGCCCACATGCTTATATTGCTCACACCCACAAGCTGAAGTAATTCCACCGGCGAAGCCTTCGTAGCCAACGGGCTTCACCTCTCCGATCGCTCGGCGCGATGGCGGCGGACCAAACGGCCCTGAACGCGGGGAACGGAGAGAAGGTCTCACGTGAGCAGATCCTAAGGGCGATCGCCAGTCTGCTGAGCTCCAAAGACACCGCGTACATCGATGCGGTGAAGAAACGTGCAGCAGATGGGAACCTGAAGATCAAAGGTGGGACCCAGCAAAGACATAGGAAACGGCATGGAAGAATATACAAGCAGGAAGTCGATTCTTGTTGAGTTTGGATTGAAAGACAAGACGGTGATCAATTCCGGTGGCTCATCCTGCTTTTCCTTCAGAGTTCATGTCATTGAGGTCATGGTTTGTTTTGGCATGTTTTGGCACAAGGACTGGTCCAGCTCCTTCTTGGTTTCCTCATGTTCAAGTTATGTTTTCATCAACGGTCAACAGAGAAAAGCTCACTTGGATTCCTTGCAGGTATTCAGATTAGCGAGGAGACCGTGAGTGAAGCCCTCAGCCAGGCCTTTCCCTTTGGCGAAATCTAAGGGCGGTAAGATAACGCAATGGACCTATAATATATAGTTATAGTCTATGTACTGTATGTTATATGTGTGTGTTTCCTTGAACATGAATCATAACATCTTCCAATCCTGGTCCCAGTCTATGTGTTTCATGTTGAAGATATATTACTAGAATTGATTACATGTCTAATATATATACAGACAGAAATACATAGAAGTACTAAAGCCTTGTTGATCGACAGTGGCACCTTTTGGAGGCGAATAGCCTCAGTCGCCCAGCGCTTGAGTCGAGCTCTTCGGGAATGCGATGGACACCCAGCGCCGCCTCGGCTGCGTGCTTGGCAAACAAAGCCATCGAGGAATGTGAAGAAGCAGAAGGATACAACGAGCGCGTGCGAGTGGTTGGAGGAAGCAAGCTGGCCATACTCGTGAAGCCGGATGTGGCGAGCACGCAGACCGGGGAATATTTGGCTCCGGATCAGTGGCTGGCAGATTGTAGTAGCAAGGCTTTTTACTCCATGTGTTTTGGACGTAACATAACCACATATCACGCACGTGAGCACACAGCGTCACACAGCCCTCCAGTGGATGGTAAGGTAATGTGAAGTAATGTTCCGTAGTGTCCTGTGGAAGCAAGAGCAAGGTGGGCTGATACAATTGCAAGGGTGGTCAACCGAAAAGATGGCCGCGTCTATGTGCCTCAGACTGGACTAGACCTTAATTAAATGTTGTTATTGTGTGATATTGAGTTGCAATGAGCAGAAGCGCAAGGCACGTGGTCGATAACGTGTATCACCAAGGTGCGGCTACGTTCCTTGAATGGCTGGGTCTCCAGCAGATCAAGCAAGGACTATGCGAAGGTGACCGTAGCAATTTGTGCGTTCGATTTTGGTTTAAGTCGAGGTGTTTGTTCAAGAATGTGGAAGACTCTTCCATGAGATTTCATGCCTTGAGGGACCTGTTTTGTCAAGTGCTTATTGCTGTGGAGTGAGAATAAATTTAACAAGTGCAGACCACCTAATCACCCGGCCCCGAGAGAGATGGGCTCCACTTGATGCCCAGGTGGTTTTGCAGGTGGAGCAAGGTAAGCCACCTGTGGAACCGGTGAGCGTCTTTGCAGCACTTGGGTGAAGCTGGTGAAACCATGTGAAACCTGTTCCACAACACAGCCAAACCAACCCACTCCTGACACCAGTCCGAGGCACGCAGGTCATTGGCCAGAGCCGCGCCATGAGACTCCTGACCGCGATGTCCGAGGAGCGGCGTGGCTCCGAGCGGCGTCTTCCAACCGAAGAGCAAAAAGACACCTAAAGGCCTCCAACCTTGTGAGAGATTTGGGTCCTGAGCAGTAGGTGTTGGGATAGGGTATGACAAAGGAGGTATTCATGTTGGAAGAGTGGATATGATATGACCAGTAATTAACATGTTGGAGACTGGATCATGCTGGAGACTGGAAGGCTTTCAGCAGGGGTTCCTGTCAGCGACTATGTGACACTTCAACAGCCAGTCTATAAAATATGTAAATTAAATTAACTAATAGCTTCTTGTTACTACTAGTACTAGTAAGGCACTTGTTACTACTAGCGATGCACTTGTTACTACTGCGAATTTAAATAGAGCGTTGCCCTGTTTGCTATAAACGATTCATGCCAGTTCCCTCACGAGTTCCCTCATGTTTGGGCCAAAGCCTCCAGGATGGCCGTCCGGTCGAGAACGCGCCGCTGGAGCCTCGCCGATTTCGTACGACCATGGTCGCACAGAACCTTGGATCATGAGGCAATGGTGACCATGATGCTGCATCCACGGAAGACTTGGTTGTTCAACGTGTTTTTCATTTAATCAAGTCGACCGTGGACCGGAAAAGATCGCACAGATGGCCACCTCCTCCACATGTAAGAGGAGCCATGTTCTCAGGATGTTCAACTATAGTGCAGCTTCTCCTCCTGTTTTGATCAAGCCTTTCTCAACACCGTGATCGAGTGAAGCTCATATTCTTCTCAGCACTAACGCATGTCGACTGCGGAAATTTGTGTTTTGGAGATATCTCCTCCCTGTTTGTGTTCATATATATATATATATGTGTTGTCATCAATCCTTTAAAAAAGCACCAAAAAGGAAAGACAGCGCCAGTTCCCTGCATGCGAGGCGGCGAGACGCCGCTTCGCCTTCGATCGAACTTGACGATGACGAACGTAGCTTCGTTTGTTCGACGTGAGTGTGATACGAACGTAGCTTCTTGTTACTACTAGTAAGGCACCTGTTACTACTAGCGTGGCACCTGTTCCTAGTAGCTTCTTGTTACTACTAGTAGTAGAGTTCTCCTCGCGGCCCAGGATTCTGCCACATCCTGACTCTACAGGACTTGTGTTCAGAGAGAGTTCGATGATGTTCGATGTCAGGCAGCAGACCTTTTTAATTACCTATATAACTAGTTACCGAGCTCAATATTGGTTGTTTCTACTTGTTCGCTCCGTACTCGTGGTGACCACAGTGACCATCCTGAACATGAACAGATTCTAGAATTAATTATCAGATATTGTCGGGGATGTGCACATATCGATATCACCATGCCGCTGTGGGAGTCAGATGCGTTAATCTAGAACTTTCACACGCGGGTTGCAGGTGGCAATGTTACCAATTGCTCACTCACCAGGAGCGATGGGAGCCAAGCTGAATGCCAAAGAGGACGGAACGACGGAACGTGACTTGCTTTTTTCACCCCACCCAGCCACCGACTCACGGAAGAGCTGACTGACTGGGTCGAGTGTTTACTCATACTCGAAGGTATAAGGTACCCTGTACTGACAGCTTTCATTACTGTACATAATATTGTATAGATTCGTATACTCCCACAATGCATACACAGGATACTCATGTATATATATATATAATCATTAATTGTCACATCCTTTGAAGGGTTTTGCTTTCGGGTGTCCTACATAAGGGACTCTTGTTTGGAGCAGAACCAAGGTTCGGAGCCAAGGACTGCAAGACAATTGGTGACCCGCCTCAGTAGACGAAGGGACCCTTCAGAGTGTCGTAAAAGAGGGAGACCATCCACAGACCTGGGGAAAGGGCAGATTCAACAGAAGGAAATCAAATCAACTGATGGACGCATTGATATGCACGACATGCTCTTCGCTCATTAAATTTACTGATTTATTCAGCGACCTTTTCCATGCACCTTTGCATCGGTCACTTTAAATGCCAAACGCAGCACTGTAGACCGAACGCTCCTGACTTGCCCAATAAGTTTGTTTGCAGCGGTTCCCAGAAAACCAAACTTCAGGGTCTCCTCCCGTGTTTTCAGGAGTTCTTGGCTGACGGAGCCTTCCTGCGAGCTTCAGATGGGCGGGCTTACTTACATTTGAAGGCCTATGTTTCCTGCATCTTGCTGGTGGAGATACAGATTGCGTCGCTAATTCACAGCTATTGTGTGATTATTTACCTGTTTGATCCTGTGTGGTACTTTGGCTGTGTGATTCAGGATTGTCAGTGAGGCTTTCTTGAAGGAACTACCGTCGGTTCTTTGAGACGCATGATTATGCAACCAAATCCTTTTTCTTTACCTTCGTTACTAGTAGCTTCTTGCTACTAGTAGCGATGGCCTTTGTTACTAGTAGCGATGCCCTTGTTACTAGTAGCGATGCCCTCCTACATGCAGGACGTTTCCTGCACCTCCCTTTAGAAAAAGGGGAGGTGTCCCAGACCTGATCACCATCTTTGTTCATCCACACAGGACAAGCGTGGATGGATCTGTGAGCGAGCCAAAGCGGATTTCTCCAAGTTGGCCGTTCAGCCCGAGGGCCCAGGGTCCTATGGAGCCCTACTACGTCGGGCGCACGCAAGGGCGTTCACCGCGCGGCCTTGTTCACGCCGGTTGAGCCGCTGTGCTCTGATCGAAGCAGTGAGGCCTTCTGGCTCCACAGAGGAGCTGATTGAGTTGGAGGTGAAGGCTCAGAGGGCAAGAGACGCATTCAGCGATCAAATCGAATCCATTCGAAGAGAGTTGACTTCTTCACCCAGCACTAGGTGTTGTCAATAGTTCTTTAGTTCTTCCACTGAAACCGCTCCCCCCTTCAGCTTCCCCCCTTCAGCTTCGTTCAATCTGGTGGTGAATCGACACGAACTCCTTTGGCCTTCGGGACCTCGGCAGCGGTGCGGGGTTGCTGCGTTCGCTTGGCCAGGAAAACATGCCTTCATCCTCCTCCGTTCGCACTCGTGAAGGAAGCAGAAAGGCAAGGAACCTCCAAGATGTTCATCATTGCTGAAAAAGCAGCTGTACTGGCTTCCTTTTGGGCGCTTTTCAAAACCGGAGCGAACCTGAAGGTCCCCGGCATGGACCGTTGAACCTGAAGAGAAACTGTGACAGCGAAACAGGCCCCATGCGACGACCGATGAGCTCTGAAATAATGGAAGTGGATGGCCTGGTCTCTTGAAAGACTACTTTACATCGGAGTTGAAGTGGTAAGTCACTTGCTGCAGGTCATTGTGTTGGAGAAGACTGAGACTGTTGGAGAGGGCGCAGAGCAACCAGGCGCTCTTTCATCCTGCCGAGGGAGTCTCCCTTAAAGAGGTGTGCTGGTCTCTGTCTACCAGCATCTACCAGTCGTCCAACCACTTTGGGAGGGTCGAAAGAACATGAAACAACCGATGAGGGTGGGACTGAAATATGACCTCATGGCTTTGTCATGGGGGCGGAAAGGCCCAATACGTTTGGTATGCCCGCCAGGGACAACTGCTCGCAGTAGGCAGGTACCCAAAAGGCCCCTTTATGCTCGGCTCGTTACAATGAGATTTGTCTTGCCCCTGGTTACACAGTTGGAAGCTTTTAAGAGAGAACATGAGAGAGCTGATCTTGAAAAGAAGGCCTTCCGTATCCCTCCGTTGTTTTGGTGGTTTTGTGCCAGGGGCATCAGCTTCTTCTGCTCCAGACCTACCGGCTGTCTTCCGATCTGACCATGAGATTTGGCCAGAGGAGACATACGGGCGGCTTAGTTCTGAGGCAGACACGGGAATTTCAGACAGGGCTAAGCGAAGACACAGAGATGTTATACTCTGTCAGCAACATGACTTGGAATCAATATGTCATATTGTGCGTGCAGCAGCAGGTCAAAACATACTGTAAGAAAATCGTGGCAAATGCCCAGATACTCCAGATTGAATACATCCACTTGTGTGCCGGGGGTGCTTTTCAGCTGGTATTCCCATCTATCCAGATTGAAACTCAAAGGAAGTGATAGACTTGTAGGCAATCTTGGGATCCCAGGGGGGGAACACATGGCCACTGGTTTCTTGATCTACTTCACACGGGCATATGCCAGTTATATACGCCAGCATGTAAATCACCTGTCCGTTGCAACTCCATATGTGTTGCTGTGAGGACTTTCATCCTCCCAAGCCGATCAAGAAAGCCATGCGGCTGAAGCTGCGTAGTGCGGTCACCCACTGTTCACCGGCTTTGGGCTAAAAAAACAACGACGCAATGTTTTGTCGATTCATTTGATCATTGCAAACAGATTGGAAGGCTTAGCTGCAAGTTGGTGTTTCATCCGAAGGGTACTGGACTAGTCTAGCTCAGCTGTGTGAGAACATGTGCGCGTGTGTGCCCAGACGAGGATTGTTTGTGCGCCACGGTGCCAAAATGAAGGAGTGTGAGGAGGAGCGACTGAAAATTACAATCATGTGGATGATGCCCAGCACAAGCTACATCTTCATGTTCACACCATTCCTGATGCACTCAAAGATGTTTTGGTACGTGACAAGATCATTTTCATGTGTGGAACACTTGAGGTTTGGAAGTGGGCAGTAACTGAGCCATTGCTTTGACCTTCAACTTGTGACTTATCATTTGAATCTTGTTGACCTGCAACACCTTCCAACAATCAGGGAGCCTTGGACATGTACTGTGTCCATCAGCGTGGGTGAGCATGTTTCCCGCCAGGAATGTGCGTTCGGTTCTTCTCCTGATCGGTTCCACCCAAACTGATCAGACCTGTGATCAGACCTGTGACTTCTTTGTGAGATGTTTAGAATCTTCTAGAATGAGATCTCGGTCACAGTGTTTTCTGTGAGTCGTTTGACCCTCTTGTGTCCATGGACATGGGCAAACCGCTTCGTGAGTCAACTCCGGGCGGACCCATCCTGATGGAGTCAGGACATCAAAGAGCTCCAAGACAAGGCCTCCACCTTTGGTCGTGCCTGTCCTGCGCAGAAGGAGTCTGAATCGGTCGACGTCTGCTATCCGAATCGGTCGATGTGACTTGGAGAGGAAGCACCTTTGGAAGACTTCTTGTTACTATAGTAGGAATGCCGCAATGCCCTTGTTACTAGTAGCGATGATGCACTTGTTACATTGTTACTACTAGCGATGCACTTGTTCCTCTGGAAGATGATTTAAATTAGGAAACATCTTCTAAGCCGATTTTGAGATGGCTGAATCTAGCTTCCTGAGTTCATGCAGACTTGCACCAGCGTGTATGATTAAGTCCTGTGACAGCGTGTTGGATGCACAAGGCCCAAGCATGAATCGATGTTTCATTCTGGGTCTGTCGCCACCTTGGCATCTTGGCACCTCAAATGGCAGGAGCTTCTGCAATATGCAGATGCTTTGAGGAAAGAAGCGCACGAGTCACAGTTGTTTGATCAGCGAGTCCAGACTGCAGAGATCTGCAGTCCAAGATGTCTTGCTTTCTTGAAGGATCCACAGCCGTGAAGTCTTCACGTCTTTCGACTTCGATTTCGTCTTCGTCTTCGACGGAGCGATCCATCGCCCAAGGCAGAAGGCGAAGAAGACATGGGCGGATGCTGCCGGGGGCTCGGCCTGATCCGGCCGTTTTCGGCGCATGGCATGGGAACCTCGAGGGATGAACTCCCCATGGCAGCACCAGGAAACAGCTACTAGATGCTATATAGATGCCAAAGGGCATTGCTACGAACGTAGCAAGGACGCTACGAACGTAGCTCCCGGCCTTACTACTAGTAGCATCTAGTAGCAAATCGATTGGAATTTCCTGAATTTGATTTAGCATGCAGCATGTCAATGACTGATCCATGATCTAAGGTGCCCAAAATGTATCGACAGTTTTGTGGAGTTTTGTCCATTCGCCATAGGCCCCTTTGGAATGGTAGTGCACCATGCTCAACCGGAACCTTCCCATGGGGGTTAGGAGATCCGACAGCCTTTTTCTCGTGGTGTTCGGGATTTGCTTCTCCAACAGCAGGAATTCCGGTCTCCAAAAAGACGAGTTTGCCTGTTCGAGGTGAAGTCTTTGCTGAAAGAGACTCCCGATGAGAAACTTCAGGAGAAGTCCAGCACGAACTCGGCTGTCCGGAGAGCCTAGCACGACTTGCGGCCTGCTGGCCTGCTTGGGGTTTTCAGTGTCCCATGTGGAGCCCGTGGTACAGGAGATGATATCCATGTTTTCATTTTTTTTCCCACACCTGTATAACTGGAACATAATATGACTTGAAACTGCCGAAACTTGGTCAAAACCCTTCGGCATGTGTTTTCAATGTAATAGTTATTTGACAGAATGATCGATCTTCCTGGTTAGGTGCTTAACTGTTTCGAGGCCTGTTTGGTTAAAGCGACTTAAACTTGGATTTCTCGCCGCAGTGGTCGATCAGTGTTCAGTCTGGGTGCCTGATCGAAGCTCCACGGATCAAGCCGCAAGTCTCGGGTGGATCGCGCTGAGCAGATTGCGGCAGGTGCCGGTACCGTTGGTCAGCTGAAAGGGCTGAAAAAGTCATAGCGAAATTGCATTGAAAAGCATGTGTTTTTGTTGGTCCAGTTACGCCCATGTCACCGCCAACGGCATAGGCTTCCCTCAAAAGCACAACCTTGAAGAACCATGTCCGCTTCGTTGCACGCTGGTTTTGGCACACGCTCCTGTAAGACGTAAACTGGGGTTCGGGGTTTTAGCAGAGTTTGTTGGATGATTTAGCTACAGCACAGGCAGACAGGGTTCCCAACAGATTTGAGAGGCCTTTGATGCACTTGGTGTTCATGTTTGCAGTCTCAGAGGCTCCAATTCTCTTACAAGTTCTTGCAGAAAAAGTTCTCATTGAGGGATATTGAGGGCCTTTACGCTGCCAGTCTTTGCATGGAATCAATAAGCATGTCGATATACACTCCTTGAAATAGTTGTGGAAGTGGATGGCATAGCCCCTTGGATGACCTTTTGTTTCCGAATAACAAACGGGTGTGGCATACCTTCGACTGTTGGGAGTGTACACCTGAAAAGACCTGATAGTCAAGAGGTCTGGCTCTTCAAGAAAGGTTCCTCGAGCCTTGGTCACTTTGCTACTTACATACTTGCCTATTCATACTCGGTAGCCGCAGGGAACCCCCATTGATCCTCACAAATGCCAAGGATCAAATCCTACCTTGCATGTTTTGGCAAAGTTTTGGTGTTACCCACACCTCCTACTCTCAAGTTTCTGATGCTGAATAGAATTGCCCACCAGCCGCCCTAGTAAATTGTAATCTTATTGCAGGTTAAGCCCCGCTCTTATATGTAGTTATATACCTTCTTCTGGATACTCGCATCTTTGCGATGGAAACTTGTCATCAGAGGGGTATATATAATTTAGTACAATTTACTGTTTAGTTGTTTCTTTATGTTTGTTTCGATTTGTTCATTTTGGGACGGCATTGTGTACACAGTGTGGGGTGTTCTCAATGATCCTGCGACCAGGTGAAGCAATGGCCGAGACCTTCGTGGCCTTGGGCCCAGACCTTCGGGGCCAGGCGAGGCTGTGAAGTGTGAAGATTCCATATTTTGTTTGTGTGGTTGAATATAACCAAGAGTAGTTTGTAAGATAAGTTGAACATGTTCATGTTGAGCCACGCTTTGCTTTTCATGCTTCAGGTGTCCTCAGCAACTCTACCGGTCACGGCGCCGGCGAGAGCGCCAGCCGTGCTGGCCCGAGGACTGAGTGCGACTTGGTTGAGATGCGGAGAGATAAAATTAAAGACCCATGACTTTCACAAGTTTTTTGTTTTTGTTTTGCACATGTTTGTCAACTTTGGTGTGGCCAAAAGAAGAGGGAATAAGGGCTTGATTTTTCCAACCAGGAGTAAACGAATAAGAATCACACCAACCAGTTGTAAAGAGGATTCCCAGATGGCAAGAAATGAAGAATAATACCATCAACCACTGAAACACTGACCATTTAACCACCCCAGCGGCCGTTTTCCTTGTGAGGAGACCCATCCTCCAGCAACTCATCTGCCAGGCAGGTTCGGACAGACACGTGGTGGCCTGGCACGTGGTTCGTTCAGAGCAAGAACGAACGAACGAACGACAATGTGTCCTGTTGGTTTGATACTATTTTAGAACAATAATATGTTGCGAGCAGAAAGAAACCCTAGGATACGCTGGTTTGAGCATGTTTGAGCCATACCAACATCATGGATGCAAACTACAGTAGGCTGGAGGCCATCACTATTAGGTTGGAGGCCATCGCTACTAGGTTGGAGGCCACTTCTATTAGGTTCCTTATGCTATTAGGTTGCAGCCCATCACTAGTAGCTTGCGATGCGACTCGGAGGTGCGCCCTGAGCCTTTTGGGCCTAGCAGCCTTGTTGTCACGAGGCAAGTGGACATGAGCGACTAGATTAGGTAAGATTGCAGAATACCTGACAACGAGCATGGCACCTGCTTAGACGCTTTTAACACATTCCTTCAAAATATCTTCGGTGGGCCACTGTTCCGGCCTAGTGTTCCGGCTGCAGCGCTTTTCCTTGTAACATGCATTAATTCACAGAGCTGTAGTATTTGTATATACGTGGATCCAATTTGTCAGGTTGTCCCAGATAGCTTTTGACATTATACAGACATACAGACTCCCATCTCCACCAGTACGTTCCTTCATTATTGTTCAGAGACATGTCAGAGCTTCCTTGCTGTTGCTTATCACGTGTTTGCCTGAACCGATGCATGTCGGACTCTGCTGAACGGACCGATGTTCATGAAGTGATGTCACGAATCCCTGACTTTCAGGTAAAACAGCTAGAGCTGCAAAAGCTAAGAAACAGAAAAAGCAGGCGCGGGCGTGATCAAGCACAAACAGCTGCAACAACGTGTTGGCCCAACTCATTGACATATCACAGCATTTGATTGATACCCATGGACAAGATCGCTTGCACTTAGATCATCGCTTGAGGGTATAGTGCAGAGGTTGATGACCAGTCATGAAGGTCAGAGGTCAATGCGGAATGATTTGGAATGTATATGAATACATATGAATACACCATATAAAACAATTACAGTATACATATATTATATGTATATACACTATATGTATGTGGGGGCCTATGGGAGACTGCGTGTGTCTCCATGAGGTCTTGAAGATCACAGAGGAATCATTCGAAGAGCCTGATGAGGATGGTATTGACGCGTGCTTTTTTGATCACATCGTTTGACGCGTTTTGGACGAAGGTCTTTTGAACAAGCACTACTGAGTCAGTACTGTTGCTGTGCAAGACATCTTCGATGTGGTCGTAGTCTACGAGTCTACGACTTGTTGTAGATGCCCCAACACAAGAGAAGGACAGATTTGAAGAAAAAACGGAAACCTCGCTGGACGACCTGGGGGAGTTCTGTCACGGAAATAAAATGTGAAAGAACTGTTCAAAGCCTTGGACCATCAGGCGACTGTCAGAAAAATGGCCAAGAAGAACAAGAAAAAGAAGCAGCGCTTTGATCCGGCCTCTTGATCAAAGACAGTTTCTTTCTCATGATTTGAGAAACTGAGACCGGAACACATATATAGAGTAGCTTCTTAAGTTCCGTGTGAAGACCTAATCCGGTCCATTCTTGTTTTTGGCACATGACACGTGTCATCCTTTGAACCTCTTTGGAGACAAGTCATACATCATATTCATCAATGTTTCTTCTTAAAATATGCATCATACATTTTTTTTGATGTATGATCTATGATTTTTCTCTATACTTAAATGGCTTGTCAAGTTAGAGAACTTCATGTATTTCACGTATTACTTGTGGTGCATGGACTTGGATGACCTCGCGACCAATGAATTCGAGGCGGACGAGATCGGCGTGTGCGCTCCGCTGGGTTTCTTTGACCCACTGGGCTTTGCTCCAAAGAACAAGAGGCACGGGATGGCATGGGATGGCAACGGCCAGGGAGATGGCACAGAGGTATGACCAAGTCTCAGAGGCCAGATGGGAGTGTTTGACAAATCTTTAAGGCAGTTGTCTTCAAAGGTGCGTTGACTGTATTGGCAGGCAAAGGAGCACAGGCAAAGATTACGGATGACAATGATGGTACTTGCTTACTTAGAATTTTGAACCTGTGCCACATCCTCATGGCCCATGGCAAAGTAGTAGGCCTTTCAAAAAGCATTCAGCTGTTCTAGGCTTAAGGTTTGAGACTGGTGACCAACCAACGACCCTGCCTTGGATGCTCCGGACCAGGAAAAACTTCAAGAACCTTCGTGCAATGGAAATCAAGCATGGTCGAATTGCCATGCTTGCGACCGTTGGGAGTGTGGCTGGACAGCATGGTTCGATGGCAGTTGGTTTCAACAAATGATAAACACAGAAACCAGGGTTCGTGGACCTCATTTGCAAGAGTAGGGTTCGTGGACCCCTTCAACTTGAGGTGACGATGGTGACATTCGGAAGGGCTCATGGTTCGTGTGCCTGACCATGACTGCATGGGAAGGGCTCATCATTCCTTTTTCAATCGAGCGTTGACTCCCCTGGAGAACAAGGCATCATGCGGAAACTGAATTCCGTTCTAGCAGGAATTTGGTGAGCTGAGTTGGCGAGGTTAGATCTTCAACCTATATCAACCTATAGGGACCTTCAGTTGAACAACCCAATGATGGTTTGGGGTCTTACATGGTTTTGCTGGATGTCAAGGACATTTCCATGGGTCCTTTCACGGTTTGTCATTATTCTCCAAGAATCCGTCGATCGCTTTAGGATATGTTGGTTTGAGGCTTCAGAGAATGAATCTTTTCTGGGATCGGCTGGATTAAAGAGCCGGGAGAGGTAACATGCCCACAACCAGCTTGGCCAAGCAGTTTGGAACGGCTAAGTATAGAACACTGAACACGCCCACACAACCATCCCACTCACCTACTGGTATCCACTTCCCAACACATCAAGTACCTACACAACATGGCCACCGGGCCCTTAAAATACCACGTTTATCCGTCGACCGACGGCACGCCCATTGCTGAGGTGTTTCAGCACTTTATTCACAGACCAGACCTGCCAGTCACTTGTCTCGCATGTGGAATGCCTACGAGGTGAATCGCCTGATGCATATTTTGTTGTTTCGCCAATTCTTCCAATTCTTCCTTTGAATATCCCATCAACATCCATCAACTGTGTAATATATAGGTTCAGATCGAATCATGAAATTAAGACTGGCTATGGTGGTCAGAACAATTGCCGGCTGTTGTGGCAGCACGACTTAGATCGCGGAGAAGCTTCTCACGGCTTCTCACACGTTAATTGGTGTGGCATCGTGTAGCGTTTTGGGGCGCAGACGCCGCGCCCATTCGTTTGTTTCGGGAGTGTAACCATTGGACCAACGGTGAACAAACGAAGGACCAAACGGCAAAAGACGGTGCTCTTTCGGTCCATTGGACCGCCAGGCCCCTTGGCAGACCTACATTGGAACGGTGAATCCCGTTGGCATTGGCGCCTTGGTGTCTTGCCTGCAGATGGATCTTCCGATGATATGGACCTAGACAAGCTATCACCGCGTGTAGAAACGATCTCTTTACTTCCATATCCCATATATGATGCTTTTATGATAGTGTACGCTCATAATCTGTGTGCAGATGGAAGGTGGTACTCCTGTTTAGCAATCGAGAAAGCGCACTGAGGCCATTTATTATGGACCTGTAGGCTTTATCCAATTGAGCCTTGTCGAGAAGTCGTTGCGCGTGGGCGGCACGCCAGAGTAGACCATTTGACTCATGACATCGTCCAGGCAGTGCTGGGGGGGTTCTCCGTGCCATATGAAACAGTGTGTAGGTCACAAGTCTCAGGACTAGGTTCCAGTTTATGCCAAGCAATTCTCACCCATTGTCACGCATTGAGAAGTCCTTTTGAACACATCGCCTGAGACGTGCGTTTGACCCACCGACCGAGCCGTTCCTGTGGCCGGCGCAGCCGCTTCGCCGCTTAACGTCGTCGTGCTTCGCCAAGGCTCGGTGGCCTCTTTCTCATCTTTCTCTTTGAATGTGTCTTGGTCTCTGCCCACATGGGGACAGATGTCACGTTTCGCCGTTTCGGTCATGGCGGAACAATGTGCGACGAATCATGTTTCGTCATGGCGTGGGGCAAGCCCCGTGTTTCTGTGTCAAGCGTTTTTTTGAGTGTTTTTGTGTGTGTTTGTGGAAGAGCTAGAGTTCTGAAGACAGCAGATGTACTGCTTGTGGCAAAACCCGCTCCCCTGAGTCTTCTTCTGGCTGGAGCGAGACGACAGAGATCCTGGTGACTTCGGGACAGAGCTGTCAAAGCGACACCGGGAGTGTTTTAGCATTCATTGTCACCGGTTTTATGAAGCGTGAGTTGGTTGCACTTTTGCTCTCCTTGCTGTTAAGGCCTGCCACAGAAATCAGAGCCAAAACGGGTTGGACAAGCATTGGAACAGCCCAAGCAATCAGACACTTCGAGTCCAAGTGAGCTGAATTTATTCATTCCTGGACACTGGAAGCAAGCCTCGTCAGGCTGAGCCTTCGATCACCAGATGTTGCCAGATATGTACTGGAGTCATGGGTGTCCAAGAAATGCACCATCATAGTGTACCATTGCCATTTCATGACATATCATGACATCAGTCATGACATCAGTCTTCGCTAGTTCCATACCTTTTCACACTTGCTTGGCAAAGTACCCCAAGCGATTCCTTCTTCGTGTCCGATGCGGAAGGAATCCTTTGGGCATTCCGCTGGACACGCCTGAGATGCGCTTGAAGGACCCGGGATGCGCTTTCGGACGGAGCCGGTGAAGGAAGACGGTGGAAGCCGCCGTTCACCCGGTGGGTGAATGTCATGCGAATTGATCATAGAGTGTCCTATCATGTTCTTTTCTGCATGGTCCTAGTGCACATTGGGGGCCGGTCCAGGGGGGGGCCGGTCCTAGAGAGAGGCTTACACTTAGGGTTCAAAGATGTTCAAAGATCATGGGACCCGGATGAACTGTGACCCCACCAAAACTAGTATTGTCATGCTACATGACTATTTTATAGGACACCTGAATGGAAGGCTGGCTCCAGAGCCGATGTTGGAAAACCCCACAACCGCCCACCGCCCCGCCACGGTGACAGCAGCGTCGCACCGAGGAGCTGAACAACGGACGCATGGCCATGATCAGCATCGTGGGGATTTGGGCTGCGGAGCTCGTGACCAAGAAGGCGCCCGCGTCCCGCGGGCGGAGCATGGCGGAGCTCCGGGCAACAGGGACGGCGGCGCCGGGCCGGGAGTCTGCAGAGGTGGTTTTTGATAGTTTCCCTAGCTGCTTGCAAAAGATGCTTGAGGAGAGTGCGTGAGTCTGAATCTCTCCCAGCCAGTCACGGTGGATCGGTGAATCATGTGTTTTTCATTGCGGTGTCGTATTGATTGCAGGGCTCCGTCAGTTGAAACAAACAAGCATTACTTTTTGCATCGACATGGTGTGCGCGCATGGCCATAAGGCCGCCATAAGTCAACCGATTGCCCTTCGAGTCACATCTTTTAACGGATTGTTGTGGAGACAACTCAAACATGATGTGAAACCACTCAGGACGCCGTGTCGTGTTTTGATTTGCTCCAGGATGCCGTCGAGCAGCTGATGTTTTGGGCATGAGTGAGTGCCGCTTCCATGTAGGACGCATGACATCATGAAGGAATAACAACAAGAACAGAGCGTAATTATAAATGAATTTCTGGAAGGCCAACCAACCCTTGCAGCTTGGAGAAATTTGAAGGCATGTCTTAAAGATCATAGAACCGCAATAAGTCATTTACCATCATAGAAGCCTTGAAATGGCCACAAGTTTGCGATGTTGGTGCTCTGAGGATTCGTGGATGGTCCTGTTACTCATGGATGTCAGACTTGTTTGTCAGTGTCCACCGAATCCTGGACCCAGCGAAGAGAAGCGCGTAGGATGTTCCAATTTTCGGAAAAGCGATCATACCACCTTGCTATGATGGAAAAGATGTTTTTGCACCTTCGATGCAGAGTGCTGACATTATAATACTGGAGAGAGAGAGAGAGTATCGGAACTCACTGAAGTTGCCACATGTCCAATTTCTCTCGAAGCGAGAGGTGGTCTGGCAACATGTTGAGTTCTCTCTTTCTGTACCCACGGAAAAGAAAGACAAAGCAAAACAACTAACTATAACATCCCCACCCCCTTAGCCATATGGATTTCAGGGGGGGGTCTGAAAAATGTAACTTACATTTTCCCACCCCCTCCCCCCCCCTCGAAAAATGTAACTTACCCCCCCCCCAGGTACCCCTATTGAGGTGCATGAGGGGGGGGGAGGGGGTCTAAAAATGTAACATGATGTCTGCCAGGTCTGTAGTTACATTTTCAAAACCCCATACTGTCAGCAAAAGACAAAATGATTGAGGGGGGTCTGGAAATTGTAACTTGGACTCTGCGAGGCTGACGGTTACATTTTACAGGCCCCCCCCTTTTGAGTGACTAGGGTGGCATTTCATGGGAAATGCTTTTCATGGTCATGAGGGTATTGGCCACGCAGGCAAAAAGCCTGACATGCGAAAAACGCAGCAAGATGCAGAGAGAAGGACGCATTCACTATTCTGTGCAGCATTCTGCAACCATGAGACATGTGACTTAAAGCAAGTTACATTTTCCCTGGGAAAGGCCTGAAAAATGTAACTTACATTTTCCTCTATTTAGTTACATTTTCATATTGAAAAATGTAACTTAAAGAAGTTACATTTTTGGGGGGTTTGCCTGACAAATGTAACTTACATTTTGTTAGGTATATGCTAGGGGAAAATGTAAGTTACAATTTTTCAGGTCCCCCCCCCAGAATGGGTAGGGATACTATAACCAGAAAACCATATGCCAGTTCCGCCCTAAATACCGCCAGTTCCACTGGGAGACGCCACTTTCTGATGTTGTGAACGAGACGTCCCAAAACGGAGAACGTGCATGAACTCCCAAGGCCTCTGGCGGCCAAGGCCTGGTGAATCGGGTGGTGTCACTGCACCTAATAGCAATGGCCTCCAACCTAGTAGCGATGACCTCCAACCTTTTTTAGCGTGTGGTGTATTAGGGTGTGTCCTATCATCATCCACTGCTACTGGTAATGGGGGCACACGCAATGTATAAGACTCTTCTGTACATGTAGGTTCACAGGTCTCACCAGCAGGAAGCATGAAACATAGACACCTTTGTGTCCTTTTTGTGTTTGTTCCTGCAATTTTCGAGGGCGCCCTCCACTGAGTAAAACTCACCACATCTCACACCACAGATGCCACAAACCGTAAAATAACACAAAAAACACAAAATGATATGCTAATGAAGGTCTATATACAAGAACAGCTCTCTTGGGGCATCGCCTATAAGGGAACCCTGCTTCACCGCTCACTGCGAACACACGTCCTTGCGTCCCAGCGTCCTTGCAGGTTCTGTCTCACCGGTGCAAGTCCGTGGAGGGCGCTGGTTCTGCGCGATGCTTCGGATGGATGGGAGTGATGAAGGTGCACAGCGCGCGGTGCGAGACGCGCGTTCTTCGCCGCTTCCACTGAGAAGACAGACACATTCGGACTGTTGGCGGCACTGATCCGATCATGTTTTTGGGGGAGGCAGGCGCCGGTGTTCATAGAGTCATAGAGACATTTGCAGGAGTATGAAACCTTGGGCTATTAGCTTACTCAGTGCTTCCTTCGCTTGTGATGTCTTCTGTTGAACATGAGAAATATGTGACGTTTCTTCCCATGTCGATGTCTGATCTTGTTTGACCTTGAATTTGAGACTAGGCCCTTAGGACTCCGTCCATGCACATGTGGCTCGTTGATGCGCAGGTTCATCGGTACTCCGTCCATGTGGACCCTTGCGCCGGAGCCCCAGGGAGCTCCAGTGGGACCAGACATATGGAAGTGGAGAAAGGCCTCTTAGGGAGGCTCTCTACAAACAGGGTTTTGTATATACACTTGCATGTTTGGGAGAGGGCGGTGCCATTTTTTTCATTCTTGGTTTCTGGGATTCTGAAGACCTAAGTTTGACATTTGAGCCATGTCCAAGTGAAGTACAAACTGCTTCCCGTGTGCTTTCCTCACGCAATTCAATGAAACTCAGAACTCAAACTGCCAAGATGGAAATTCTACATCGCTACCAGTAACAAGTGCATCGCTAATAGTAGCGATGCGCTTGTTACTAGTAGCGAATTCCCTTGTAGCACTTCTTGGCAGCCGCGGGCTCCAATCGAAAATGGTACCCCTTTTCTGAGAGGGAGCCCGCACGGTCCGTTCACTGGTTAGATCCCAAACGGCTCAACTTGGTCGGATTTCCAGATGGGTGCGGCTTAGGTGATCCCAGCAACAAAGGATTTGTATGGATTTCTATGGGTTGTGATCAATTTCTGGGCGTCAACAGTGGGTTGTTACATGGCCCAGATGAAGAGAATGCCTTATCCTTTGAGGCTTAAGCCATCGGGACGCCTCGCAAGATCTCCAGCAAATGCTCCAGGCATGGCAAGCTGATTTGGGAAAGGTCCAGAGTCCAGAGTCGTTTTTTGAGTGCGTGCGCACCATTGCGCACCCAGACTTATCCTTGTGGACTTGTGGACCTATCTTCCACCTCCAGTTGTGCTGGAACAAGAAGACGTCAGACAACACTCGTCCAACACTTGGTGACGAAGTTTAGCAGATTGAGAGTCATGTGGTGGTTTCCGCGTCTCATGATGCCAAGTTGAGAGAAATCTCGCGTAGAATCATAGGACGATGTCGAGAGTGTGGAGTAAGTACAGTAGCAGGTGGCTGTAGCTAGAAGATGCTAGAAACTTTGCCGTCGAAGAACAGACCTGATATTTTCCTTTCAGGTGAAAGATGAGAATCTCAAAAGAAAGGCCGAGAATCCAGAGGCTTGGGATATTGATGTGATTTGCTTTGAAGAAACACAATGTTGGCCAGCAGAGACTATCAGGCACTATCACTGATTTGTGCGCGCCCATGATAAAGCTTTGTTGGTACATGACACATGCATGCATATATATATATATATGTGTGTGTGGACACAATACATTCACATTCAAGAGTAGGTTCCGTGTGTTTCCTGCACGCCAAAAGGATACATACAGAGGTGCGCCAATATTCCACTTTGACCAAACCTTTCATTTTACATCCCTTAAAGCTACCACTTTGTGCAATTCCGCGGGGGAAGTGTCAAATTCAATTGGGGAACCTAGGGCACCATGCTTTTGGCTTCAAGCACAGAATTTTGCAGAAACGACGCAGGATTGCTTTCCCCTGGCTGCTTTTCTCACAACTGTAGTGCTTTTCTCAGCTTCTCAATGCTGCTTCTCAAGGCAGATGCTTCAGAACCATCAACTAAGCGAGCTCGGCCCAAAGCAGACAAGAGCGACCAATGAAGGAAAAGGGGGGAGAGTGTCGGCGGCACAGCAGTTCTGGCCAATTGGTACAGTAGCACTCATTTCTTCAAGAATTGGATTTGTTTTGTGATCCAGAATTGCTGACACTTCTCTGCGCGTTTGCTTTCGCAGCGCTGTAGAATTTCCAAAGTGAAATAGCCAGATGGCAAAGTAGGATTTGAGATGGGCAGTATTCCAGTAGTGCCACACATCTCATAGGCTGTGGAGGGATTCGCATCTTCTGAACACAGAATCTCGCACCCATGTTCAAATCATGCAGCAGTGCATAGACTTGGACGTTAAAACTAAGTTTATCCTTTTACGATACCTATAGGTCCTCATAGGTGCTTTTTCCACGGACCTTTTCTTGAAGGTGGCCACTCCTCCATTTGGATCAGTCCGGAACGATCGCAGCATGCCGGCGGGGGGCGAACGCAGGGCGTGTTTGCTCGTCGGCTCGACTGACATGAGCGACATGGGGAGCTCGAAAAAGAGGGAGTGCTTGATTAGGTGAGCAGTTGTCAGGCAAAGACTCCAATAAACTGACATGAAATGGAGCAAGTCGAAGAGAAAAGACAGATACTGTAAGGTATAGTTATAAATTGTAAACGTGCGAACCATTTGAATTGTACCATGCCACTTTTGTCAGTGCGTGCACGGTCTGAGTAGCTAAGTGGAGCAAAACACGTTTGGGTTGGCGTGGCATACCAAACAGCAATTGGATAGAGCTTCCAACTGGCCATTTGAAACACCTTTCTGGATTCCTTTTTGCAAACCATTTTCAGCGCCAGGCCTCGTACATCTGCACCGAGTGTGAGGATGCCCTTTGCTCCCGTTGCTCTGCGCAGATCCACCGTGTGGGTGCGCGACAGAACCATACCCTCTTCGGCCTCAGGAAGGCACGCAGACTGCGCAGACGGCCGTGGAATGGGTCAAAAACATCTTGGGCTGAAATAAGCGGCGGAAGTAGAAGGACAAGGCTGAATCAGCATCTGAAGTCAGTGTTGGTTTAAGGCTGGGGGGTGGGAGAAGACAGATGCAATTGGTAGGCAGTGAGTTATGAAGGTATGAACAAGCCTGTGCCGTGGGAACTTGGATTCCGGAGTAGCTTTCCATGTTGTTTTGCCTACAAAAGCCAGCCTGGGTCGGAGTGTGCACGACCGGGCGTGGACTTTTGCGCTCCGGCACGACGAATTCAGAACCCCGGTAGGACAGGCAGACCGATCAGTCACCAAATGGGCAGGGTTGATGATGCCAGGCGGCCTATAGCAAACGCCTGTTTGCGGACAACCTTGATCGTCACTTGGCAGACGTAAGTCTATCTCCATTTGCAACAAGACCCAGTAAGAGAATGTAAGACAATGTAAGATACATAATATATTACTGTAGTATATTAGTTATTAGTCGAGGTGCTTTATACTCTGGCACCAACACATTAATCAGTTGACCTGCTCTTGGTTTCTCCCTCAATCGGTAAACAGAAGATTATGTCATGAATTGAAGATACTTTCAGGAACTATGTGTGGGCACCGTTTTTGTGCAGTCTAGCAAAGATGAAGCTTTTGTGAGTTTCCGAGAATGGATGTCACTCATCCGCATCTCTTAAGTAGAGTATTGTAATGCAAGTCAATAGCAATAGTTTTACAGTAATAGTATAATGACTACATGCTGCAACCGGGGATCCGCGCTTCCCGAACCCTTTACGGCTCAGAACGCCCGAGTGGCCGCCGTTGTGCACCGATGGCGGCGGCGGTGGCGGCGGCCGTGCGCCGCCGCGATGAGCGGAACGCAGCCAACGGCGACGACGCATCGGAGGTGGGGCGGAACCTGACGAAGTCCACCGTACTGCCGGAGGACGGCTTTTGTGGGTGAGGATTTGGGAAAGGTTTGGAGGTGCTTGAGTTTGGCAGGATTTCCGGATGTTGGTTATGTTTGGAGGTACTTATGATTAGGAGTGAGCATGTTTCAGGTACTGTCTTTGGGTAAACCTTCTTTTCACTGTTCATTTGTTGGGGTGTACCTGTATGTACCTGTGGGGTGCCGGGTATTGGAGCATTGCGAGGGAAGGGACAGGAAGTGAGACTTGTCTTGGTCCTAAATAGCACACTTGGTCCTCTTTTTGTGAGTTCTGAGGGCATCTGCTACAGGGAGGATCAAAGGGATCTCTCTTTCTTGATTGGGTCCTGTTCCGCCCTTGAATTGCTCCCGGTACGGTACGTGCTCTCCGCCGGAGGAGCTCCTACCACCGTGACCTGGACAGCAAGTAGGTAGGCGAGTGGGATGGATTACGCCCTAAAGCAAGTTCAGGGATTCTAATGGTTCATTCAGGAATTGTGAAAGGACATAGAAGGACCATGAAAAGAGTCCCTTGTCTTGAGTTGCCATGCCAAAAGGGCACAGAAGGAAATTGAAGGATACAACACCAAAACAATCCATATGATTCAATTCCAGACTGCCCCCTTTTGTTGGCAACAACTTGGACTTGGGTAGAGTCTGAATAAGGAATGGGATGAGCCTATAGAGTTGGCTGATGTTGGCTGAGTAGTTGGCTGTTTTAAGAAACAAGCATAGAAAACTATTTGATTACAAGAGTGGTGGTGTTGGCCACAAGAAACATACATATTATCCAAAAAGGATCAGCTTTGCAGAGTTTGTATTCAGTCCGCAAGAAACATCTTGACTACTCCATCCACCTTGACAAATCAAGCTCGAGCTCTATCATTAGGCCAAGCCATTCGTTGGACTGCAAATTTCAACAGGAACCTAGAAACTCCTTGGTTCTCTTTTGCAAGTGGCAGGCTTGGTTGCACTTACCTGTGTCTATGTTTGATGCCAGCAGTGTAGAAGCTGGACGACCAACTTGCCACAGGTTTTTTGCTGTTGAGCTGCTTGAAACGGCAACCGCGGTTGCCTCAGGAAGGTTGATGCTGGATTCTGGAAGTATCAGCACGAAGCAGCCAAGATCTACCTTAGCATCCGTATCCAGCTCTCAGTGGCTGCTCTCATTGCAGGGAACTTCTTGGCCAACATCATCGAGAAATGGGTAGATCCTGATGGCGATCGGTTTGCTGATGTTTGGCTGGGATTTGACTTGTTCTTCAATGTGAGCTTCACCATAGAATTGTCGCTGAGAGTTGAAAGTCAGGGCTGCAGGGGATGGTCATGACCTGGTGAGATAACATGGTGTTATGACAAGGTTAAGATCTGTTAAACAAAACTCATATCGAACCCTTGAGAGTCTCTTTACTGAGTAGCAAGATTATGCAACATTGAATGACACCGTGTGATACCGTGTGTATTTTGATAAATTATATATTGAGCCAATCACAACTGTAGGGAAGAAACCTTGGTCTGGATTCCCAATTGGAGGGTCCGGACTTGTCTCAGTTGGAAACCACCAGAGGGATTGGCTGGTAGGTATATATCAATCAATATAGTGCGGTACACAGTTGGTTGTTGCTCTGAAGAGTTGGATTTGGTCGACTGAGCATGTCTACTGATCATCCCTCAATCTGCTCGGATTGTTCTCATAACCAGGTTGTGGAACATGTATTCCTTTTGGCTATGTCGCTTCTGGAAGTCCGCTTGGAATGTCTTCGATGTGGTCGTGGTCACCATCGGCCTCATGAACTACGTTTTGCCGGAACTGCCTGGACCTCTAGGCTGGTACAATGGGAAGGGAAGGACCGGGGAGACTCAAACTTTCAACCATCGCAGCCCCCGCAGAAAGTAGGTCGAACACTCAATGCATTTCTATGGGCTGTGGATAGGTATGGCTCTCTCTATCTCTCGCTTTTTGTGCGGTTCATGCTATCACCAAAAAATGAGCCCCCTTATATACTGTAATGTTTTTCCCGAAAGCATTGCGAAGGGTTCTTCCGGAAAATCCTTTGAACACTGACACTTCGACACTTACACTTAGACACACCTAGACATTGACACTTTCACCACACTTGCAGGATAACACGAACGCTATACGTAGCCCTGTGTAAGTGGAAGAGCGAAAGCTGTCAAAGTATGCAAGTGGAAGTATGCAAGTGTAAGTATGCAAGTGATGAGTATGCATGCAATGAGTATGCAAGCATGCAATGAGAAGGCAAGTGAACTAGCACGGGAGATGTCCTAATGAAAAAACATTTCCCCACTTTATAA